GTCCATGTGCCAAACACGCTTCTTTGGACCAAACATGCTGGCCATGCAATGCAAACACCACTCTTGGAGATGCGTGACATGACATGGCATGTAAATGTCGCCAAAGTTGCAATTCACCCAAAAATGATACTTTTTGCCTTTTTCCAAAAAAGGCGCCTTTTTTAGAAAAAGGCCAAAAAAACGCCTTAGGGATTTCTAGGTAAGAGGTCCTTAAATGATTTTGTACAGTCCCTCCGGAGAAGATCTTGTCAAGATCCTCCTAAGATCCGCCAACCCTAGGAGGTCCTCGCATGACCTTGCGCAGCACAGGTCCTAATGAGAAGATCCTGTGAAGATCTTGCTGACATCCCCTAAGAGGTCCTTGCACAATCTTGCACGGGTCCTTATGAGAAGAAGTTGTGGAGATCCTGGTGAGATCCTCCTTAAGAGGTCCTTGCATGATCTTGCACGGGTCCTTAACAGAAGATCTGGTGGAGATCCTGGTGAGGTCCTGCCTAAGAGGTCCTTGCATGAAGATCTTGGAGATGCTACGTAGTAGGGGTGCTTGTATGAAAGCTCTTGTGAGAGGCTCTTGGAAGGTTCTTGTATCAAGATCTTCCAAGATTCTCTCCAGCAGCAGCAGGTCCTTTCATCACGATCTTGTGAGCTTCTCTTAGGGTCATGGCATGAAGATCCTGATCAGGGTCTTTTATAATTCCTTGTGGGGAGATCTTGTGGAGATCCTGGTGAAATCTTCTCAGGTCCTTGCAGTGGACGATCTTGCGCCAGTCCTTGTGAGAAGATCTTCTGGAGATCCTTGTGAAATGCTGTCAGAGGCCTTAGCACGATCTTGCACAGGACCTTGTGAGAAGCTCTTGTAGAGATCCTCTAAGAGGTCCTTGCATGGTCTCGCACAGGTCCTTGTGAAAAGATCTTGTGGGGATCTGGGTGAAATACTCCTCAAGAGGTCCTTGCATTAAAATCTTGAAGATGCTTTGCATTGGTGTTTCTGTGAAAGTTCTTCTGGGATGTTCATAGGAAGTTCTTCTATGAAGGGCTTCTAAGATCCTCTATGTAGAAGGTCTTTGCTTGACGATCTTTTGAAAGTCTCTTAGATGTCCTGGTATGAGGTTTTTGGTTTGAGGCCCTGATGTAGAAAAAGCGTTGCTTCTTGTGCCAAAACAAGTTCCTGCTGCGCAGTTGCGGTAATGCGTCACCCGTTACTGTTCCATAGCTATTGCTGCTGGCATCTGGTACATTGACTTTCTACCCCCCGCACTGTTTGGGGCCTCTTTGCCGGTGTAATTGCTTTGGTCTTGGGATCGCAACACTTTCTCAGGCTGTTTGAAGCATTGAAGCACCAGGGGGAGTGGATTTTGGCTACCTGTTGACGCATGCCAATCTCAAAAAAACGTTGTCTGCTGTGTGTTTATGGTGGACGAAAGCTGGGTACCACCATTGATGAACCAGGGACTCCCTGGCCGCGGCGTTGAGACAACGAGGCGGCAGGTGCGGACTGGATGAGGGTGGTGGGCTGAGTGGAGAAGCTGCAAGTGATGAGAGATGCCCAGTTGTTGACACGTATTTGGCTGGTGGTTTCAAACATTTGCGATGTTCAGTCCCACCCAGAATCACACAGTTTGGTTTGGTAATGGGATCAAAACACGAACCAAGTATTCCACAGGCATGGTGTGCCATCATGTGCCACCATTCCTCTTTGTGTGATGGCGTGAACTTGCGAAGGTATCTGTAGAGGGAAAATGTCCTTCCATGGCTTCAGATTTAACCAACCCCATGACCGACCCCAAACCATTGCAGCGCTTGGCGCCATGGCCCCACGGTCTATTGGGTGACTTCGGAGCAGCCGTAGATCAAGTCTTAGCGGCTGAAGCTGCTGAGGATTCCTCCGAGGATTCGAAGGGCGTTTGGTGGAGAAGGCGGCATACCAAAGAACTCGGACAGAAGGCTTTGAAACTTCAGCAATTGGTTGGGCGCTACTTTGTTGAATTGGAAATTCAGTTGCTTGAGGCAGCTGCACGTGAGCTGGATGCAGTGGTTCCAGTGGCCTTTGAAGTGTCAGCTTTGCAGCTGAGGGAATTGGCGGATCCTGCGCAGTGGGATATAAACTGTTCATTGCTGCAAGATGTTGGGTCGTTCAGGGCTGGTTGGTTTTTGCTTGGTGGAGAGGCTCTTGGTGGAAAGTTGTGCAAACTCAGAGGGGCCAAACAGCAGGCAGCACTGAGCCGCTTAGACGAAATGTCGAGGTGGTACATACCAAACAAAACAGCTGAGTTCCAGTGCTCTTTGGCAGTTGGGCTTCCAATTCTGGATGCCACTTGTCACCAGGTACGACTCTTTGAGGCTTGGGTTGAAAGGGAAGAACTGCGCACAGCTTCAGAACAGTGGTGTTCAAGAAGCTTTGCCACTGCCATGTTGGCAGTTTCAACCTCCCAAGAACAACGCCGGCAACGAGATGCCCGTGCAGCACAGGGTCAGCCGCTTTTGTTGCCGGCACATTACGAGGATCCTCCCCCTTTGGTGCGTTTCTGGACGCCACCCAAGCAGCAGCTGGGGCAGAAAGCTGCCTCTGTACCTCGTGGGGTTGGAGGAAGCAAAGCCCAAAACGTGGCTTTTTGGCTTGGGCCCAAAGTTCCGGCCCCGCCTGCGCCTCCCCCGCCACCAGGCATACCAAGGCCACCAAGCGCACCACCACCTCCACCACCACAGTGAGATTGGAGAATCTGTGGCAGTTCAAGTTGACAACAGGAATGCTGGATCAACATGATCAGGCGTTGAAAAAGGGAATCGTGGATGCCTTGGGGTAGCGTGCGCCAATTCTTTCAAGTGCGGATAAGTGCGGTATGTTAAAGATTGGTCGGCCTTTAACATGCATTCACAAAGGCGCAATATCAACGAATTGAAGCAGTACGTATTAATGTGAGGGATATTCAGGGAGCAAGGAACCAGCTCGAAGTGGTGGGCTGGAACAAATGGCTCAACATGGTCATGATGGATTGAACACTACACATTCCATCACGGTTTTGTGATAAACCGCGCAACTCAAGAAGTGGCACAGTCATATTTGACACTTCACTGCACACCAGAATCATCCGAATTGTCCTGAAGTCACTGAAGTAGGTAGAATCGTTTTAGAATAAGGTGTTTGTTTACTGGGTAATTGCTGTAATGATATTTTTTGTATTGAAGTTGATCATAGTTGATCTATGTTCACGTTCAATCCTGTTCTCCAGGATGGTCACATATCATTCATTCCCACATGTTTCATGACACCGCTGGCCATGACGGCTGACGTTGGCCATGTTGGCGCTGGACACTCGGCAGATCTGATGGTTTTTGAGAATGGTTGAGACTTACCTTTTTTGGGGGTGATAGTATGCTGGTTGGTGGTTTCAAACATTTTTTATTTTCCATAGTATATGGGATAATCCTTCCCATTGACTAATTAATATTTTTCAAGATGGTTAAAACCACCAACCTTGCAGCCGATCACTGAAGCCCCAGATAACTGATTCATGAATATTGATGACATTTATCTAAAATCAGGAGGTTCCATCTTGCTAACAGCTGGATTTTCTGAATTCCATACTTTGGGAATCGCGTGGTTGTCCTCTGCTTCATCCTGCCATTGCATGTGAACTAATTGTGTCAGCCTTCACGTGTGAGGTAATCATATCATGTCCCGGCATAATGTTGGATCCCATCTCAAGTCCCTGGTTTCGAGACAAGGGTTGCATCCCAGGAAGAGTGGAGCATCTCAGGCAAGGGTGCCTTTAGCGGGTGGGAAGTCTGGGCATGTCTACCCGCAATAAGCATGGCTCCTCCAGCGGATTTGTTTGACACATTTTGACACTGTTGGTCAAACCTGAGAAGAATCCTATCCGCTTTGAAATGCTTTGATCGTTGGACCAGGTAACGATATCGAGCCTGAAATCCTACGAACATATCGCAACCTGGCAACACCTGGTTTGCAGCATTTGTTCTGGTCAAGACGCTTAGACTCGAAGGGCCAAGTCTCATTCATGCGATTCATGTTAGGTGTGTGGGATGGTGTACCTATGATATGGGACTTTTTTTTTAAGCTGAGCATCCATAAATTTAGCTGTTTTGGTGTGAGGTTCCATGAGGCCCAGGGGCCCGTGGTATGATTGCTATGGGATCCACGAGTTTCAGAATGGTTTTAACTAACTGCGAGGGATCCCACGGTGCCCAGTTGATTGATGCATGGATGGATTGGAAATCATGTTTTGGATGGTGTCAGTCCAGCCACTGAACATGGATCCTAACTTCATTATCATCCCTGTGGGAACCATGAAGAAAAGCCAAGGTGATGCCAATGCGGCGCGAGACGCGAGGCGCACCTCAGTAGCGCCATCAGCAGAACCTTCCTTTGTAATGCTCCTAACGATGTAGGCTCGGGCTCCATGACTTTGACACCCTTTGACCATCTTTGACCATCTTTGACCCATATCATCCCATAATATCATTGATATTACATGAGCTGAACTTCAAGACTAGCTTGGACGGCAATCAGATCCACATCTTGAGTCTATACCTGTAAGATCCTATAAGTTTGGTCCCGCATGAATCCAACCAGGCAAAGTTCCTTGCGCATCCTGGACATTGGAGCCGGTGCAGGTGCCACGATCAATGCGGATGTGTCTGAAAGTGGACGGGTTGCCCATAAAGGGCAAGGTATGCCAAGATCATTTGAGAAGATGATTATGAGCCATCAGATTTTGGGGCACGCTATTTTCAAACCGATGTCACATCTTCAGATCGGAACCAGGAAGTTAATGATATTATGGTGACCTGATCATTAGGCAGGACTTGTGCTTCGCCATTGGTTTCCAGCTTCAATGTGATCTCGGTCAAACACCTTCTTTGCTCGAAAGCTCGGTTTCCCCTTGCCCCGGCCGTCGTTCCACTGGGCCTGCTTTACCCCCTCTATAGATCTCCATCGACCTGAGAAAGTCTTATCGATCTTATCGCAGATGCGGCACATGGCGGAGAAGCTTGTGCCGAAGGACAAGGAGTGGAGCTTCGAGGACATTCGCCGAGAAGTTGAGCAAACATCTTCCAAGTTGAAGCTGTCGGATGGCGGCTCCAAGGGCTGCTCCCTAGTGGCTCGGTGTGCCCTGCGGGCTGGGGATGTGGTGCTAGCAGAGAGGCCCTTTTTTGAAGGGAATGTGCAGGCCAAGCACAGTGAGCAGGTGTACTCCCAAGCAGTTCTGGCCAAGATGAATGGAAAGGATGGTCATCCGGATGTTGAGGCAGCACCTGAGGATTTCCAGGAGGATTGCCTGCACCCCCGCAGACCCTTGATGGACTGTGTCGCTGCCATTCTACTTTGCAAGCAGCAGTTGGTGGCTTCCCAGGGAGGGTGTGATGCCAAGGCCCTGCTGAAGCTCCAGAAGATCTGCGCCCTTTTCCAAAGCCCAGTGCAGTCCACAACGGATCACCGCGAGTGCGTGGACGACCTTTGGGGTGCCTTGAAGCCAGAGCTACAGAAGAGCACCTCCAGGGAGGAGTTGGGTGACATCCTGCAGATTTTAGGGGGCAACCGATTTGGTCAGGGAAAGCGCGGTATCTTGGTGATAGTTTTGGATTATTTTAGGCAATTAATCCAAAACTGCTCAGTTGACGGTTGACGAACATTTCAGTTGCATGGTTTTGACTCACTGGAAGGATGCCGCATGTAAGATCGATGTTTGCCAAAACTGTCAGTCGACAATCATTGTTGTTTCCCTTCTGGGGCACCCAGGTATTCACTTGCTCTTCGCGGGCAGCATGTTTGAACACTCGTGCTTGCCCAACTGCTTTCTGGGCACCTGGGACAGTGACAGCATTGACACGCTCCAGACCTACCGCGCTCTCCGAGATATCGCTGAGGGTGAAGCTTTGACCATCGACTACATGGGCTTCCCACAGGGTTATTGCGCCGTCTCTGCCCGTGCGCAGGCCTTCCAGAAATGGGGTTTCATTTGTAGCTGCCCCAGATGTGTGGAATTGCCGGAAGTGGAGCGCAGTTACTTTGCCTACTTAGCTGTTGGTTTCAGGTTTTACTATTATGTTTTCTGTTTTAATCTTTTGTAGGATGTCTATAGGATTATGAATCCAACTGATGTGTGGTTTGCATTAGCTTGGGGGATGGGTGTCAGAACCAACGACCAATTTTGTTCCTTTCAGGGATTCTAGAACGGACTGAGCTGTGCACACGCACAGCCAGACAGCCTTTGACTCACCATTGAATCGCTATAAAAAATAAAGCCCCATTGTATCACCATTGCTGTAATCCTCATCAATATCACATAAAGCTCATCAATATCACCATCAACTCCCCATCCAATCATCGCTCAGGCTTCAACTGCATGGCTTGTGGTGCTCCCGACCTGTGCCCCCGTAGCCCGGGCTCGGTGGAGCTGCAGTGCCTGTCCTGTGACGCGGTGGCGGAGGCCAGCTATGCCGCGCGGTGCTTCAGGAAGGAACGGGAGCTGCAGCCCGAGCCCGGCAGCCCTGCCAGTGATACCTTCAGAAAGATGGGGGAATCAGAGGTGGGGGGAGATGAGCATGAGGTATTGTGGATAGTTGTGGTTTTGCGGCCTTGATGAAGGTCGAGTTCTTGGATGTCAACATATGTCAACTAGTTTCTTCTTAGATGTGTCCTTTCTTAAACAAATTTTGACCACAAACTCTGTCAAAAAGTGGTGATGCATTCACCTATGCTCGCTTTGGTATCATACATGATCGATGAAGAATGGCAACCGCCAGGCCGATGAAGAAAACCTCCTGAGTCATCGTCACCATTTGGTGGTCCAAGCCTTATGGGAAGATGTGGAGCAGGGACTCCCTGATTCCGCGGAGCTTCCTGCATTTTTATCAATCTTGGAGGTCTTGGTGGAGAGTATTTCCAAGGTGTGCAGATTGAATGAGCATCCTGCATTGTTCCTTGCCCTTTGCATTGGCTATGTTTTGATATTTTCTGTGTACGGGCTGGTAGTATGGGCCAAAGCCATATATCCAGCATCCCAGCCACCACTATGCTAGAATTTGGAGCCATAGACCGATTTGGATTGGCAGCTCTGCCATTTGAGCCGCAATCACCCCATGAAACATAGTGAAACTGGAGAAGAATGCATGAATCATTGTGCAATCCCCTGGTGTGAATGAATGCATGATTTGGGGATATTTTTGGGGGGCACACGGACCGACACGATTTTCTACTATACATACCACCTTTCTCTCTACGCCTCAAGCAACCATGCAACGGGAAAATCACCACCAGAAGAGGATTTTCTGATGCAAAAAGGGTGTTATCGCCGCCATGATTGGTCTTTCGCCACACCAGTATGTGCCATCGTATGTGCACGCAACATGGACGAAGCAGCCTTCTTGCAAAATTTGGCAGAATAATGCAGAATATGGCAACGCCAATGCTATGCCAAAATATTGCCAACAGTATAAATCATGCCAAAATGACCAGTTGAACGGATATAGAATGTAATGAATCCCGATCCAAATCTACAGCAGTGCCCAGGTTGCAGTTGTACAACATGGCCGCCTTGTCCACTGCAGATGACTTGGAAGCCCAGAAGCACTACCTGCAGCTGGAGCACGGAATCCTGCGCAAATTTTATCCCGACGAAGCGGAACGACAGGAGGAGGAGATCGAACGTTTGGTGAAGTGTGCTCCCGAACCCACAGCAACTGGGACTGGTTTAGCCATGTTTTTAGACCGCATGGTTCCTGTAAACATACGTCAACATAGGTGATTCTCAGGGTCTATCTTAGGTGTTTTCCCAGGTTGGTGGCTTGGAACCGGCTTGGAACTCCTTGATTCCTGCTTCTGATATGTTGCCAACAAAATCAATACGATGTAACATACTATAATACGATGAATGGTGATGAATCCAATTTTGACATGGATCTTGATTTAGCTCACCGCCCAGGAAGCTGGGTATCCGCAAGCCTTAAACTGATTGGAGTCCTTATGGTCGCATCAAAGTCTGCGTCACACAATCAGCTTGCGAAGTCGCCCGTAACTGTTTGAAGTGCCAACTGAGCGGGGCGTGATGCCAAGTTCCCGGCGAGATGAAAAACGGACTGCTGAGACTCTGAGACAAGCTGAGAATGTTGGATCAATCCTCGCTGCAGGATATTTCATTTGTTTTCATGTATGCATGCCATCATAGAATATTAAATTGAATAATTACTTTAAAATACTGTAAATTTAAATATCTGGGGGTTGTGATGGAGATATGTTCTTGTACATTAAAGTATGTACAGTAGTCCATCATTTCTTTTGCAATGATTTGTTTTACAACAGTGGATATGTTTCCCACATGGTTCCACCTGCGTTTTCTCCAGGCAGAGACCTGCGCTACATCCGACATGGATTCACAGGTGTGGACTTGGAGGCACCGAAAGTTTCATTCTGGACAGTGATGCCTCCGGGTAATATGGTGCAGAAACGGCTCCCACATAGGTGGTGGATATATTAGGGGGGGCCTATTCTTGTAGTCGCACATAATATATTATGATAATAACTAAACCTGGTCTGGTCAGCCTATATTTTGAAAGTTCCCACACGGTCATTTTGGTTCTGGGATGTTAATCCTCAAGACTGAGTTGAAATCATGATAAATCTCTACGCTGCGTGACATAGAACGATGTGAACATGTAAGGATATGAAAAGGATATGGATCCCTACACGCAATGAAAACAACTAATTTCTGCAAGTGAATATGGACCTTAGGTGTAGGATGGTTACATGGGTTGATCTTGATCTTACTTGTATCATCTATGTTGAACAAGTTCTGCAAGGAAACATGGACCTTAGGTATCGGTATGAGATGTTTACATGATTTTTACACCTGTGCTCAATTGCTTTCTCATAGGCAGGAGGCAAATTTGAAGACCTTCAACATCTAATTTTACATTTATTTGAAGTTCAAGGCTTTTTCAGTAATTTGCAAGTAATAATATACCTTCTATACCTCTGTATTACATGTGGAAATGATGAAAAAGTGTAGAATGTATTGGAAATACCAGGCAATTGGGGACCTACACACTTCCAGATTGCATTTATGATTTTCTGCAATTCTGCAGCTATTTGCAGACCTTCACACTATTGTTTTACATTTTTTCATTTTCTTACATGTTTTTCAAAAATGCAATGGACAATATTGAACGACCCCCTGTGTTTTTAAGAAAATAAATGAACTCCCGTAAAAAGTAAGGGGACCTACTAAAATGAAATCTTGCAAATAAGACGTTGTTTAAAAAAATATATTTCCAACATTTAACAGGACCACCTCCCTCAAAAACGTCTAAATTGTGTCTTGCAATTTGGGTACGCCCCGCCTCCTTAAAAGAGTAGTGATTACATATATTTATATACATAAGTTCCTTTTTAAATGGGGGATATTCAGCCACAAAGACGTGGACGCTATCCCGAAAGGGGCTTACAATGTGTGCCAGTGGGGGGTGTCCACCAGGTGGTTGCGGTCGAGCCCAATCAGACTCTTGGATCTGGTTGAGTGCCAGCTGTAAACAGCTGCAGTTCGTACTGCGGGGAACTCACCATGTTTGGATATTTTGATGAACTTAGACGTATATTATGGTATATTACATTACTGTATTATGGTGGGTTCCCTACCACGGCATGTTTCGGGGTTTGATTTTGTCTAGTGGTTTAGTCTGGGCTATTTTGGATAATCTACCCGATTAGGATAATTTGGGATTTTCCTAACGCCCCGGTTGTCTTGAAACTTATATGCCTTTCCCAACGGTGGTCAAACCTTGCAATGGAACTTGCACCAGATGTATCCGTTGTTGTCAACTTCTATGGAGTTGATATGATATATTCAAACCATGAATCTTATGAAGAACATCCCATGAGTGTCAATGCTTCTCTTATCCCAAGGTTGCATCCCGTATCTCCATCCCCCAATGTTATTGTAAATAATTTCCCACACATTATACCCCATGGATAATTTCAATAATTTCACCCATCTTCATCCCCAATAGATTTTTTATGATACCCTCTGGTTATTTAACATAGCCATGGGAAATGGCCCATTTATAGATGGTTTACCTATTAAAAATGGTGATTTTCCATGGCTATGTTAGTCATAACCAGAGGGTATCCGTTACATCACACCCCAATCCCACCATCCCCAGGCAGTACTGGGTCTCCATCCAGCGCGAGCTCCAGCGTTGGCAGCTGCGAGGTGAGGTCGTCGGCCACCTGGAGCGCACTGAGGTGGGCCTTTTTTTTTCGGGCCAAACAAATGCAGCAACCCCCCCAAAAAGAAATATGGAGTTGGTAAAATCCGGTTGAAATAGTGATGAGTTACCTTTCGATCTTTTCTGGGGATTAGTATACTAAATACATTTAAATACTATTTGACTATTGGGTCGTGATTGGGATGATTTTTTCTTTACCTTTCGTAGTGCGGCAATTGAAACAAGAATGAACCCAAAATGGATAGATGCAATATGTATATAAGAGATTGTGTTGCAGCTGCTTGTTCACCATCTGAAAAATCCTGGAAAACATATTTTGGCAATCATTTGGGGGTTCATTTTTGGAGGGCTAATTGTTTTGCGAATTATGTTTTGCGTTTTGTGCATTTTTTTGGTATTTCTGTTTCTCTGCTTTGATGGTTCTTTGCTTCTTTGCTTCTCTACTGTTCCACTCTTCTGCTTCTTTGCTTCTTCGCTTCTTTGCTTCTACACTTTTCTGCTTCTCTGCCTCTTTGCTTCTTTGTCTGCCTGCTTCCCCACTCTTTCTCTGCTTTTTGTTTTTTCTGCTTTTCCCTGCTTCTTCGCTTCTTGAACCTAAACCAACCCTAAAAACAACCCAAAATAAATCCTGAAACAACCGTAAACTAACTTAAATGAACCCTAGTCGCAAAATACCATGCAACATGAAAAGTTTGAGCGCCAAAATGTTGCAAACGCGATGGACAATCTGAAAGGTTTGAACTCCAAAATGTTGCAAATACAGTTGAAAATAGCAGCTCCCAGCTCCAAAATCTTGCAAATATAGCAAGGAAAATGGGCAGAATAGCAGATCCACCCAAAAAAACCAAAACGGTTAAAACAATAATTCCAAAACAGTTCCAGACCTTTTTTTTTTCTCCTCTCTGATGTATCAAAATGTCCACAGAGTTAGTTGGTTTCTGTTTGGAAGATGTTTGGTGATGATTATGTTGCCAATAATGTGAGCATTTTCGATATTTGCACGAAGAATAATGCGGTTGAAGAAAGTTTTACATGTTTGTTGTTGGTTCCATTTGATCATCTCATGCGCGGCTGCCAATTACAATGCTTGATCCTCAGGAAGGGGGTGAGGTGAAACTATTTGCCCAACATGATGTGGATTCAATGTGGAAATAGAAAGGTCATAAGCTTTTGCCCCCTAGCCCTAGACTAGATATTCAAACCATCAAACCTGGTTTCAGTTGACATTATTCTTAACTCCACCAATTCCAATTTTCACAAACATCGTCTAACAGAAGAACAACAGGAAACCCACAATTGTTTCCAAGATCTTTTAAAACCAGGGTATCCTATAAAGCTTCCCCTGTAGCTACGCCAAGCGCAGCTTGTTTGCAATCTCCAGGGCTGCTTCGATGTGGCGGTGCTGCAACACGTCCTGTGCTCCGTCGAAGCACCCGAAGAGCTGCTCTTGCAAGCACGGCAGCGGCTGCGACCAGGCCCGTGGCGCAGCTGGAAGTAGAACTATATATAAATTTAATTGAATACATATATAGTTCGATATAGTTCCTCTTTGTCATTCCAATTTTTATATAGGGCAAACCTTCTGAGAAGCCCCGGCAAAAAAACATGTTTATATATAGAGTTTGTTATTAGATGTTATTGGGTGTGGTAAATATAATATGGTTACCCACCCCAGATTCAATAAAATTAGGTATATGTTGGTATGATCCGAGACAGTGGCTTGATAACCTATGATGCCAGCCATTAGGGATGCTGAATATATTGTATGTCTGAACAGATGGAGTCATAGTCACCATCCCTAATAGTAGTGGTTGCGTGTGGTTGCAACAGTTGGGTATATAGCCCTACTTGGGGCAATCAACAAAATCACCCCCTTTCATGGTTGACAATTGGGCATGGTTTATTATTGTGCATCCCCCAATGCATGGCCATATTTATGGGGAAAATGATGGTGAACTATATATGATGGGAGTGCTGTAATGATCTCCGATTCCAATTCCTGTTTTGAAGTAAGCTTGTGAGAGGTCCAGTCTGGGTCGCGACGGGAGCTTCAAAAACTGCAAGTTCTCGAGTTGTTCTTTGCAGAAAGTCGTTGTGCATTCACAGAGCATGTGCACGTGCTTAGGTTTAGTTTGAATCTAGGACAGCAGGAGAGGGAGAATGCTAAACTTAAACTTGTGGAATTCGTAGTGCAGAGCAGTAGTCACATTCTAGCGAATCTGCGAAAGCCGCATTGTTTTGCACATTGATGTTCATTATCCTTGCCTTTCAATAGATTCATCGGCTCAAATTCAACAGAAGGGGCTGGTACACCCTTCGAATGATGTCCTTCACAGAGACATCACAATTGCTACAGAAAGAGCTCATGAACGATTACAGCTACCGGGTCGCCTGGCTACCAGTGGGTGCTTTGGGTAGCTAGTTGCATGTGAATTCCTTGTCATTCGTTTGATTCGCTGGTTGAGCATCACTTGCATCACCAAGGTCGATGGGATTCCTCCAATGAATGACTCGCAGTATGCAACTTGCCAGCAGTTCAGCTTCGTTTTGGCATTTGCAGCAGTTACTGTTCTGGTTGGTTCGGGAATTGGCTGAAGACCTTAACGTGCTTCCAGCTTTGCAACCTCCGATTTGTATGTCCACGCTCCACAAGAAAGAAAGGAATATCCAGGATATGTGCTCTTTGTTTGTTCACTTCCTAGGTTTTGACCATTCTATACCATTCTCAGTAGTTGTGGCATTCCATGGAATATCCACAACTTTTTGGAGGTGAAATCCATTGGCTTCCACAATCAGAAAAGGGTAGATTGCATTCTTGCAAGTTAATCTACGTCTCATATCCATATACTGGAAGTCGCCCTTGTGGCCGTTTTTTCTATTTGATTTGGGTCTCAGTTCAAACCCTAGGTTAACATGTGTAATCTTGACATATCTTGACTCTAAACAAAAATTACTTTACTTCGAGTTATCCCCACCATGACATTTATACGTTTTGTTACTGGCAAATCTTCTGGCATTCTATCTGGCATATCTTCTGGCATTTTATCTGGCATATCTTCTGGCATTCTATCTGGCATATCTTCTGGCATTCTATCTGGCATATCTTCTGGCATTCTATCTGACATTTTATCTGGCGTTCTATCTGACATATCTTCTGGCATTCTATCTGGCATATCTTCTGGCATTCTACCTGGCATATCTTCTGGCATATGGTCTGGCATATCTTCTGGCATTCTATTTGGCATTCTATCTGGCATATCTTCTGGCATTTCATCTGGCAAATCTTCAGGCATCCTATCTGGCAAACATTCTGGCACTTTATCTGGCATACCTTCTGGCATTCTATTTGACATTTTATCTGGCATTCTGTCTGGCATACCTTCTGGCATTCTATCTGGCATATCTTCTAACATTCTATCTGGCATATCTTCTGGCACTCTATCTGGCATATCTTCTGGCACTCTATCTGGGATATCTTATGGCATTTTATCTGGCATATCTTCTGGCATTCTATCTGACATTCTATCTGGCATATCTTCTGGCATTCTATCTGGCCGTTGAGGTCCAGCGGTGCGCACTGAGCTGGGAAGGTCCCAGGTTGAGGTCCAGCGGTGCGCACTGAGCTGGGAAGGTCCCAGGTTGAGGTCCAGCAGTGCGCACTGAGCTGGGAAGGTCCCAGGTTGAGGTCCAGCAGTGCGCACTGAGCTGGGAAGGTCCCAGGTTGAGGTCCAGCGGTGCGCACTGAGCTGGGAAGTTGGCGAAGAGCTTGGCGAAGAGTTGGCAAGGCGGAAGTGGAGCTGGAAGTTGATGCAGACATGGTGGAGGAGAAACTGGCGGAGGAGAAGGAGGAGGAGGAGGCGGAGGAGGAGAACAACTCTGATAAAATCTAACAACCCTCACCTGGCAGGTGGGGAATCAAATCATGATTTCCGCTGACTCTATCTAAAAGCCGAATCAAGCGCATCGGATTCTTCTAGCCTTTTAACCGATCTACCGCATCCACCTCCAACAAGCACATCCACATCATCCGCCTCAACTCATCCTTCAACAGCCAACAACTCCCACAACTCAGCCCCAGCTCCTCCACTTGGAAATGCAGTCCCAGTTATAAGTTATAAGGTAATAAGTTAGAAGCGATTATCGAAGGAAGTTGAGAAGTCAAACTTCCGACAATATGGACAGATGAAAAGCAGAGATGGGAAGAGTCAGAGAGAAGAGAAGAGTAGAATCTTAGAAGAGAGAAGATGAGAGAAGAGAAAGAGTCAGAAGAAAGAAGATGCAGATGCGCGAAAATGTAGGAAAGTCGCGAAACACTGTGTTTTTCCAATGATTTGAGGCTCCGGAGGGTCGAAAAGTAGGCTCGCTAAAGCGGCGAGTGCAGAGCCATCTAGCCAGATGAGAGATGAAAAGTGCACGCCGTTGTGGCGCGAAGCACATTTCGAAGTCAAAATGTACACAAAACACACCATGCTCGGACCACTTTTGAAAGTTGAGATGTCGAAAAAGTGCACGCTGTTTTGGTGCGAAGCACATTTCCTAGTCAAAATGTACAAAACACACCAGGTTCGGAACACTTTTGGAAGTTGAGGAGACATTTGAAGAGGATCTGCAAAGATGCATTTTCCGTGGCAGGCGCAGTACAAGAGACATCTTCATCAGAGCTGTTAGGAGGTCCGGGCGCTGGTTTCCTGAGAGGGGTTGCATTTTGGAGCTTGAGATCTTCAGTTTTGGGAAGATGATTCTGCGTGACAGGTGCAGCACTTGGTATGACCTGGCTTCACTTTTTCGTGGCAGGCGCAGTACTTTAGACAGGTGGAGTGGAAAAATCGCGACACGCATCGGTACGAGGCCGTCAGCGCTGCAGTCAACTTTCCATGTTTGAAGGAAGTCTCGCAGAATTGCTTCGTTTTTGATGTTGTCAACTTGAAAAAGTGAGGAAATCTCGCAGAATGGCTTCGTTTTTGACGTTGTCAAGCTCAAAAGTTGAGGAAGTCTCGCAGAATTGCTTCGTTTTTGACGTTGTCATGTGCAAACATTGAGGAAGTCTCGGAGAATGGCTTCGCGTTTGATGTTGTCAACGTTGAAAAATGAGGATGTCTCACAGAATTGCTGCGTTTTTGATGTTGTCAACTTTGAAGAATGAAGAAGTCTCGCAGAATAGCTTGGTTTTCAAGCTTGCAGATAGAGAGGTAGACAGACAGACAGACAGATAGATGGATAGATGGATAGATAGATTAATAGATAGATAGGTAGATAGGTAGGTAGGTAGGTAGATAGGTAGATAGGTAGATAGATAGATAGATAATTCGATAGATAGATAGATGGATGGATAGATAGATAGATAGATAGATAGATCTATAGATGGATAGATGGATGGATGGATGGATAGATAGATGGACGGATAGATGGATGGATAGATAGATAAATAGAAAGATGGATGGAGATAGATAGATAGATGGATGGATGGATCGATAGATAGATAGACAGATGGATAGATAGACAGATGGATAGATAGATAGATAGATAGACAGACAGACAGATAGATAGATAGATAGACAAATGAGAGAGAGAGATACATAGATAGATGCATAGACAGACAGATAGATAGACACATAGATAGATAGATGGATAGATGGATAGATGGATAGATGTATAGATAGATAGATGGGTAGATGGATAGATGGATAGATGGATAGATGGATAGATAGATAAATAGATAGATAGATAGATAAATAGATGGATAGAGGGATAGATAGATAGATAGATAGATCGATAGATAGATAGATAGATAGACAGATAGATAGATAGATAGATCGGTAGGTAGGTAGGTAGGTAGGTAATCAGAGAAAGAGAGAAAAGAGAGAGAAAGAGTGAGGGAGATCAATCACCTTTCGATCCATCAGTGGCTTCGCTCTGCCATCCGTGATTCACAACAACCAACCTCTCCTATAGGTTTCCTACTTTTGAAACTTCCGCCACCGCCTTGTGCGGTACTACTGGTATACCAAAAATAGTAAGTTGGCTTTATAACCCAAGTGGTGGGGGTTTAGTTTACCATGGTGATCTTACCAGTCTGTTCCCACCCCAACTGCGCCCAAGGACTTCAACCACGTGCAGTCGCACCCGCCCCCCAGCGCCTACATGCAGCGCACCGCCGCCGCCGGGGGTCGCGCCTCGGCCATGCCGCAGAGTCGCGGCGGCTTCGGGCGCAACACGGAGACGGCACGGCCCATGACGTCCAACCGGGCGGCCGGTTACACGGCGGCGGGGAAACAGGGAGGCAACAAGGTGGGACCTGGGGATGATGGTGGATGGAAACATGTTGGAGAAGGATTCACAAGGAAGATTTGATATTTATATATATTTATTATATACATTACTTGCGGGAATCTAAGATTATCTAAGATTGGTCATGGGTTCACGGAGGAAGGTTTTATTTTGTGGATGTGGGGGATGAAGGGATGGGGGATGGGGGATGCTGGATGGTTTTTCCTGGGCAGGTTGAAGAACAATTTAAACTATTTTTGGATATTTTGGATCAGTCTATGGGTGGTATAATTTAATGATGCTATACTTTGTGGTCTTGCTGCATGTGTTTGTTTTTTTGGGTGGGGGCTGTGGTTGCGAACATGAAGCACTGAAACCCCGCCAGGTCTTTGATCCCTTAAATCAAGGAGACAAGGGCACAGCCAAGCCCTTGGAAAAGAAAACAGAACTTTCCCCTGAAGAAAAACTTCGGGAGATGGAGAAAGTGCCTTGCAGCAATTTGCATCATGTTTTGAGGCTGTACCAAATCATGTTGACCATGGATAACTATGAGTCAAAACCTCAGGCGCCGCCAAAAAATTGAGGAGGACCTTGCACCTATACTGTTCAAATCAAGTAATTATGTCTTTATACGTGAAAACAAATCCGATTTAGAAAAAAAATCTTAGATTAAATTATTCTGGAATTTCTGGAAAGTATTTTTCTGAATTTTAGATTGTACATTATATATATATAGGGTCTGATTTTTTTCTGGAAAAACCATGGTTTCTTCCAAAAGACGCGCAGTAACCGAGGAGATTCACCGCCTGGTCGAAGAGAGCGCAATCACGCGCGAGCGTGGGAATCTGCGGGAAGCTCTTGAAAAGGGCAAGGAAGCGGGCAAGAAGGACCGCCTGGACTATGGGATTTTTTATTGGGATAATCATGGGACAATCAATAGCGGTTCATGAATATCCCATGAATATCCGAATATCCCATTAACTATGGGTTGTTCAAGATGCTGATGTGATATTCATGGGAATATAATATAACCAACCAGAATTGGTGATTCGCTTCGGGGGATAGAACCAAACTTGACAACTTGAGATGATATTTGGGTCTTTACGTGAAAATGGGTGATATTGTCCCAACTTTAGGGTAATGTTGATTATGAGAGAGATTTGAGATGTGATAATTATATAAGCCTAAGCGCCCAAGCATGGGGGTTGGGGTAGCCTATTTTCAGACAAAAACATATACTGTTTTGTTGGCTCCATGCAGATTTCGAATCCCCATCCCCGTGGCTCCAAAATCGAGCAACCAGCTATTGAATTTTGTTGACATGACCATCCATTTTACTAGAAATGGGTGGTATAAACCATCCAAAATTGGCGGTTTATTATTGGGTGTTTACCACCTTACTTTTTGTTGTCATGGATTCATGGCTCCAGTTTTGAACTGTCTTGAACCCTGAAGGAGAGACAACTGTGCAGACTGCGGGACGCTTTCCAAATTCATTCGATTCAGCTAATGTTTGGATGAAGTGGGATTTGTTTTTCTTTTGCTGGGTGCAAGGTGGCAAAATAGTAGCCTTTGGCTGTTAACGTGCAGCAGCAGTTTGTTGCAGAGATTTATTCCGCAGCCAAGGAACAGCAGAATCTGCTAGATCAGTTGAACGTTGACCTCACCTACGCCGTGTGCCTCAACCTTGCCATTCAGCACCAGGCGAATGACAATGTTTCATGGCATCAAAGACATCAATGTTTGGTGGTTTGCTTTGCTAATTCTCAATGTTTCAAGTATAGGATGTGTTCCTGAGAACGGCTGCCCCAAATGGGTCCGGCTTGGCTGAAGTCTAATTGCCATTCTCATGCTTTTCCTCGAGAGTGGCTTCTCTCTCGCCAAGGACAATGAGGCCTTGACGATTTACACACAGATCGTCAAGAACAAGCAGTACCCCTTTAGTGGACGCTTTCGGGTGAACATGGGCAACATTTACTTCAAGCAGGAGAAGTGGACTGCTGCAATCAAAATGTATAGAATGGCTTTGGACCAAATCCCGAACAATGTGCAGGCAGGGTTTCGTCGATTTCCCATTTCATAGAGTGCCCTTTTGCGAAGAGCCCTCGTCCCATAGCAATGACCTTTCCAAAACATTCCAAAACCCTACATAATGTTTGAAGTTCAGTGCCCCTGAAGGCAATCCGCTTCAAGATCATGAGAAATATTGGCCATGCATTCTTCAAGATGCATCAATTTCCTGATGCAATAGATTCATATGAGAATTTGCTGATGCATGGGGCCCAACACTTGGATTTTATGACCGGCTTCAATCTCATTCTTTGCTACTTTGCGCTTGGAGATAAAGCCACCTGGCCAGCAAAGGAGAACAGGTGGAAACGGGCAATGATTTGAAACTGACACCTTTGCTGCTCCGTATGTTCCATCATACAGTGACAACAGGCCGACTCTTCACGTGTATCTCCTGACATAGTATCATCAGTTCTCACTGATCCATCCATATACTCCGAAATTGGTTGTTCAAACCTTGAAATTAGTTGTTCAAAGCTTAGGACCTTTGGTCCCTCCGCCATTGGTTGGCTCATAGGGCCCCATTTTCAGGACATTGGCAAACAGTCGGAACGCATCTGAGGACAAGATGAAAAGCGGCTTCTTAAAGCTGCTGAACATCGAGCAGGTGGGCTTGGAGGATTTCGACGAAGAAGAAGAAATCGAGCTGGGCCAAACTGAAGAGCAGAACCTGGCCTTGACGGGGTAAAAGTGATGATTTTGATGTGTATTTTATGGCTGATTTTCCCGACTAAATGCCCATTAAAGACTGGCAAAACCGTACCTGGATGGGACGAGATGTTCAAATTAGGGGCCCAACGCTATTTGTGTACTCAAACATGGGTTGTCTGGATGCTGCATGGATTGTGGCTCCTTCGTTGGTTTCTTGTTTCCCATTTCCCCAAGTTGCCGCTCAGCTCCAGCCCGAGCCGTCAGGAAGCAGGAAAGTGCCAACCGCACCCTGACGGAGGGCGATGACGCCTTGCGGGAGGACATCAAGCGAAGACAGCGTGAAGCAGCCAGGTGGATGGCCGGATTGGAAACTCCTTGGAGAACCTGGATGGGGCCGCATATTCCCATCATTTGTTTATATGCATTCTGAAATGTGGATAAATGTGGGGTGTAATTTCCTGTACTTCGTAGTTATTCCATGTATATATATATATATATTGTATATATATATATTGTATATATATATATATATCCATGTATATCCATGTATATCCATGTATTACGTGCCAAGAACATTGGTGAGAACTAGTGAACATTCGTTGATCCGAGGCCCCCACTGGGGCCCTGGGGCCCAGTGGAGGTTCCGTGGGTGTACTCCCGTGTTCACCATTTGCCTTTTGTAAACAAGGCTTGCAATCCAAAGATCCACCTTTGCTCACTGCAAAATATCGTATTTCCGCCGTATTTCCCCTTGATTTTGCCTTCAACCACCGGTTTTGTGAGTTGAATACCCATTTACAAGCACTCACCCTCTCATAAACTAACACAGCCATTGAACATGTCCATTTATAGTTGATTTACCTATAAAACATGATTTTGCATTGTTATGTGGCTTCCCCAGAGGGTACATCAAGTCATCACAGGCTACTCCAGGCATCAAGCAACGCTGCCAGGTTCATCGTGAACGCTGCGAATCTCATCGCACCGGTGATCGAAAAGACCGAGGTCCTGGGCTATGACTGGGTGACTTGGCAAATTGCAATGGCCTGTGACTGGGGTGCAGTTGGGGTTATAGTCATCCCCAAAAAAGATGGAGTAAATCCCCATTAGAATAGGGAAACAAACTACTTTTCTAGCTTTTTCTTTGGGGGGTGGGTACTACAATTTGCACCATGACTAGGAAGCCCCATAAGTTGGTATATAACCCCAGCAACATCTATGGTTCTATTAATCCACTATGGGTCAAAACTTGTTGCTGATAATTATATAGAGGTGGCTGATCATGTTTGGACATGTTTGGTTGCAAACCATTGTGCCATTGTTACTTGTTCCGAAAGTTTGTTGAGACCATGAAGGGACCCGGATGAAGGGACCCTTCTACGAGAAAATGTGCATTCATTGCCGCAAGGAGCAGTCCTTTAAGCACTGCCTATACTGGCCGGATCATGCATTTGTCAGTTTATTTCAAGTGTTTCTTGCATCGAATTGTTGCTCAACACTTGGTTCTTGATGAGTCTTGTTCATCTTGTGCATGTCAAGTCACAGCAGGGTAATACCCTACCCCGCAACAACATCTAATAACTATATACTGTACCCACCTGGCACTAGAAACCCTTATTTCATTTAGTATTGGATCTAGTTACTATAGTTATTCTATATTATTCCCTTATTGGCGGTATTTAACATTTAGTGGATGGGAATTAAGGCTAGCTATTTGGTTCCACAGCATTGCCCTACACGCCCTGCACCTGGGTGCAGGTGATCGATTCCTTGAACCATCATGGCTTTCCGCGCATTGGATCTGAGCTCGAGATTGCAAAGTCTTGTTTCCCCGGCTGACTTAGATGGTAGCCTTTGGAAAGCCATGGTTTTCCCCAGGAAATGACCTAGAAATGAGGATTTTTCTGGTTACCCTGCAGTAAATCCCTGAACATAGACAATTTTAGTGGAAAGTAAGCGTCCAACCCCTGACTCATCGCTGGTGATGCTTGGTTTTTGCAGACCATTTGGATCCATTTGTGGCATCACTGGGAAATACTGGGAATAAGCATGAACAAACCAACGGTGAATGATGGATTTCATTGGGCGACGCATCACCATGTGGAGAAATTTGGCCAATCCACCCATGCAATCCAAGCGTCTTGAAAATCCAAGTCCGTTATTTTTTCCAGTAGCACATCCAACTAAAAATTACACTGTTGGTTGTTACGAGACTGAAACATCTATGAATGGCTGACCATTGGTTAATTATGATTAATTAACACCTTGGTTGATAACCATTATATGTGTTTATATTGGTTTCCGGTGGCAAATCTCAAGCAACTGTTGATTTACTGACAAAACCATTGTGAATATTGGTTAATCCATATATTGGTTGATCCATTGGCTGCGACACTAAATTAGGGTGATTTTAGTTGATGTTGAAACATGTTGAAACAACAGATCCATAAACATGATTTGATTTCCGGTAGCAAAATCCCACAGAAATGGTGATGTTTTGTGATGTTTTGTCATGTCTGGTGAGGAAATTCCCATCCCAACGGTCCCAACGCGTGGCGCTCGTTATTTTCGTCGCAGCCAGGTTTCTTTCTCCGACGCAAGGAGTTTGATCAGGCCATCCAGGTGCTCAAGAAGTTTGAGCGTCACTTGGTGCTTCGTTTCGGAAAGGTCATATCTTAGTTTGGTATGACCCATAGCTATTCTTTTGGAATATGTTTGGATATCTGTTTCGGGTGTTTTTGGATATTGTGTGGATATGTTGGACCTTCTTGGTTTTGGATGTTGTTATATGTTTTTGATTTGTTTGGGTGTTCGCAGCCACACCAGCCTCATTGATCCAGATCTAAACCTGTGTAGTGTTTTGCTGGTGATGTTTCAAGGCCAGCTGGGATATTATGCCCAAAGCCATGACCCCCAGACCTTTTGAGCACTGGCAACGTGTTTCCAGGAAAAGAGCCCTCACTGATGGCCTGTGCCGCAACGAATTTGTCCTTCCTTTATTTCCTGGAAGCTGAGCATGTGAACGCCGAGAAGTATGCAGACATCGCGGTGAAAGCTGACCGCTACAACGCCAGGGCATTGGTGAACAAAGGAAACTGTTGCCTGGTGCCATTTTTAGCGGTGCCTAAGGGGACTGGTTTATGAAATCTTTGGATGTAGTTGGGACGCTGAAGTTTCACAACTGGGAGAATTGTTTGGATCGGATCATCATGTGTCATAGTCCAATGGCCACCCTATTAGCTCTCAGCAGCCCACTGGAAGTATAAACAATAATTACCAGATTGGCCATTCCCGGTTTCATGTTTTGCCGGCTCACTGGCTCATTTTGTATACATCTTTGTGCCGAGGCATGTTCATGAACGACGAGTTCGAGCGGGCCAAGGAAGTATATTTGGAGGCGATTGGCGTCAGCGCAGATTGCCTGGAAGCCATTTACAACCTTGGACTGGTGAACATGCACATTGGCAACTCGTCGCCATGCAAGCCCTGGCTCCGGTAAGCATCAATGGCCACCAGTTGTTACATCAATGGTCACTGCTTCACTTAGTTTTTGATCCACCCGCTCTTGGCTGAAACCTGAGGCAAGTACCAAGAGGCGCTGCTTGCTTTTGACAAGCTCCATTCCATCACTCATGTGAATTGTGCCTTGGATGTCCTGGGACGCCCTTGGATGCAGGGCCGGGAGCCAGCAAAATGGTGACTCTTTGCTGACGCGTTTGACATGTTTTGACCAAAATATGTTTCATCGCCGCCTCGGGCTCCCAAGGCGAGGTGATGTGGCAGCTTGGTGACATCCACGAGAAACTGGGCAACCATGCCAAGGCAGGGAAGAGGGGTGAAGAGCAGGACAGAAATGGACAGAATCTATTCTATATCTATATCTATATATATATATAACTATATATATAATATATATATAAATAAATAAATATATATATATAATATAAATGATTATACATATATATAATATAAATGCTTATCATGGACATGCATGGTCGACATGGAAGCAGTGGCAAGTGGCCAGCTGCAAGTCAGAACGTCCCGAACTAGCGAACTCAGCGCTAGGGAAGAAAAGAGTCAACAAGTCCCGACATGTCCTGATACCCATCTCCGGCCGTCAGCTTGGCTGAGCCGCTTGACGAGGCTCATGAATGGTTTTCACTGCTGGTCACTTCACCAAAGGGACGCCCCACGGACCCAGGCGCGTGGAGGAGAGATTCTGATGCGATTTTTCCAATGAAAACATGTGGCTGATGTGTTTGATGTGTTTGGCTCGGAAGCATTGCCCCCCCCGAAGAAACATGTAGTTTAACAAGTTTAACAAGTTCAATACTAAGATTAAAAGATACCAAAAGCATTTAGAGCGACGTAAAGCGATCCTTTTCTTCAAGAGCTACACCCAAAGTTCACGCTGTTGGCCGAGCCGCTTTCCTGCATGAAGGTGTGCTGGCGAGACTGGCCAACCTTTTCAACAAGGCTGGCGATGAGACGCAAGCCTTCCACTACCATCTGGAATCCTACAGGTATTGGCCAGTGGATATGAATGTCATCACCTGGCTTGGTATTTACTATGTGAAGCAGGAGATGTATGAGGCTGGTTCTGGACTTATGCAATCTTATGCAGTCTTATGCAGCCCTAAAAGAGCCATAGTGTCCGTAGTCTCCAAATCCAGTCGTTCGGGATTTCAGTCTTGCTTTCCAAAAGTGCACCCCTTTGTCAACGGATATGGTTTTGAGATGTTTTGAGGACACTGTACCTCCCTTGTTCCCCTTTCAAATGAAGACAGGACTTACCTCCGGTAATCCAACCTGGCACGAATCCCCATGGATTAGCAGAGGCTATCAGGGGGAATGCATTTCCATCATGAAAGCCAGAGCCCATCAGGCTGCTTTGGACACCTTGTGTATATAATTATATATATATATATAGTTTTATTTTTATTTTATTCAGTATAATATATATTAAAATATCAACCACCCGTTTGTTTGTTGCCCTTGGTTTCTGGCTCCCCCTTGACAGCAAGCCCTGAGGCAGCTATCCCGTTCTTCTCACGAGCCTCACAGATCGAGCCTAATGAGGTGAAGTGGAGGTTGATGGTGGCCTCCTGCTATCGCCGCATGGGCGCCTACCCAGCGGCCTTGAAGTTATATGAAGATATCCACAAATCGCATCCCAATGACATTGAGTGCGTGAGATATTTGATCACCATTTGCAAGGACGGCCCGTTTTGCTGCGCTTGGTGATTTCATGTGATTTCATTTGATTTTAAGTCTATTTTTTGGGATTAAATGTATGTTCCATCCTGGAATCACGATGGGCTAATGTTCTCCAGCCACAAAAACCTGACATATGTTGACATATGTTGACCTAGTTGGATCCAAATCAGGAGATGAAGCAGAAGTACGACCACTACGCAGCGCATCTGCGGAAGTTGGAACGACTTCAGGAGGCCCAGAACGGTCAGGGCGGACGTCCCATGGGCACGGTCTCGGCCATTGACGATTCGCCCCACGACGAAGGGCCGGGGCGCATGGGCTTCGGGGGCTCCCGGGGACACTTCGAGGAGGATGAGGTGCCACCGGCACCAGCGGATCCGCCCAGACCACCCATGGTGCCTTGGCCATGTTTGTTACATCCAAAAAACTTCAAAGATATGACATAGATATGATATGAGTATTATGAATAATATGGGGTATATATATGAGCAACCGTAAAGACCCCGGCAATACTAAATATGTATTCGACGGACATTGGTTTATGGAAATTGATGGAAATTGTTAAAAACACGAGGTAAGCGATGGGACCTTCCCAAATTAGCGATACCCAAATATCACATATTATATATAAATGCAGCAGCTTCCTGCAAGCGATACCCCCCAAGTTTACCATATATCATTATTGTACAAACGTGTGGTAAGCGATGGGACTTTCCCAAATTTGTGGATGTCTTTTCCGTGAACCTAGGGTTTTCACAATCGCTCATATGTCGGGCATTTATTAAATTGGGTGGTTCTTAATTGCCAAAAGAATGAAACGTACCCTTTGGATCCCTTTGATATCTCAACCTTCCGGTGCGAGGACCCATATTTGAAGAGGCACAGGTAGATCGTGACATATCATCACAACTGAGCTGCGTTTTCTTTTAACATCGGGGTCCTCCCCAAAGGCTACCTGTGCAGTCCGTGTAGGCTTCGTGTAGACTTCGCGTAGCCTTGATGAGTTTAAAGGGCCTTAAGCAAGAATAAAGACACAGCTCAACTGTGGGATTCTTATTGGCAATGTTGTTTGTTGAATGTCCAGGTGAAGATTGGTGCAATTACTGCTACCACTGTTCCTGTCAAAAATTGGTCTTTAAAACAAAGTCCAACACAGACGACTTTCCCGCCGAGCGGATGGCTTAGTGCACTGAAACTGCCGCAAAAAATCTCAGGCTCCCACTCTCGGCCCCTCAATTTGCAAAGCCCCCTTCGATTATATAGTTTACTTTCTCAACCCACTACCCCCCATGGCATCTCCCCCAGCCCCAGCCTGGCAGGAGTTGTTTGAAGCAGAGGCTGATCTGCCCCAGAAGGCGGCGCCCAAGAGACGTTTGGCGGCTCCCAAGGCCACAGACGACGATGATGATTGGGGCAACGACGACCTCACCGATGTGCTGCCTCCAATGTGAGGAATCATGGCTGTGCCCGCTGGGCAATGTTGGCCATGACCTGATAGCAAGGTTGGAGATGTTGTACAGTAGTGCCAACTGCATGGCCTGTGTATCGAATGTGTCAATGAGGCAAGAATTCGCCTTTTTTACAGGGCTCCTAAATCTTCCCCATCAATCAAGAGACATTTGTGACACCTACGCCAATCCATGTCTGATTGCTTCTGAAGAGGTGCCAATGGCCAGTCTCGGGGCCCTGTTTCACCCGCTCAGCATGCCGATGACTTTCGCGCACAACTTGAAATATTTGGTCAAAACAAAATATGGCTGTTATAAACTGCTGTGCAGTTTCTGATGCCTTAGGTCTTCAGGTCTGGGCATTTTGAAGTAGATGGGTTCCGGGAAGAAGATCAACATCCACCGTCAACTAATATCAACCCGCAATGTGGGAACGGGTTCAGTCATGCTCCAATAAGTTGGGTAGACACAAGATTGGATAAACATCATAACGATATGTGATAGAATTCTGATAGTGTGTTCATGGTTGTTGCTGCTTGTTTATATCTTGGATACACATCAGGATCGGATAGTGCCAACCCCTGATTAATAAGCCCCATTCATTGGAGCTGCCGCAGTGGTTATTATTGAAATTTGTACCACCTGTTAATTAAGTTGAAGGATCTTGGAGGTATTTTGGGGTTTATTATGCTTTATTAGTTGAGTGAACACTATGATATAGTGGTTTTGACTGATTCCCATGGCCCATTCCCAACACGTTTCAGGTGGTCTCCTCCTCTTCGTGGAGCACATGCCTCCGCGTTTTCGCGGCGCTCGTTGGATCTTGCGACCGCTGATGAAGCTGTGTAGCTACTTGTCACAGCCATTGGGGATCCAATGGAGGCTTTTCCCAGCAAAAAATGAGAGCATTACCCTCTGGTAATTTAACATAGCTATGGAAAATCACCATTTTTAATGGGAAAATCCACTATAAATGGCCATTTTCAATGGCTATGTTAGTTTACCAGAGGGTAACAACACCAAAAAAATGAATTGTGATGTAACTTATGAGCTGGATATAGTATGATATAGTCGCTAGTCATAAATGTTGATAATATCTTGCTGTATCAATTAACGTTGGAATTTGGCCAACACAACGGTAAATCAGATATAATGTAACTTAAGCAGCAATGATGGGATAGAATATGATAGAATGGGGGTCTGATGATCTTCGCATTGCTGATGAACGCCGCCATCCCCTTCACAGCCTTCACAGTCCTAGTTTTGGGGGGACCACCCGATATGTTCTGAGAATTGTTTAAAGATACCATGTTCACCCAAGCCAGCAATAGCAAAAGGGATCTCCACTTTGAAGATTTTTGAAGTCATGTTTTTTTTTTCATCGTCACCCAGATATGTGTCCACCGCGGAGCGGAATAAAGGCTGTGATCTCAATGTTGATGCGGCAGAGCTGCTGTCATCTCTGAGCTGGCAGGCGTGGAAGTTTGAGATCCATTGCCTGAGGTGCATGCCTCTAGTCAGATCAATACTTATGATCACGTACAACTACACAATGTGTCTTGTGCACCGTGCATATGATACACAGATATGTAATAATGACATACTATATATATATATATATGTTATACATATATGTATATATGCATTATGTGTGTATGTGTATATTTATGCATACGCACATAACTTAACCTTTCTGTTTATCCATCTGTATGATTCGACATTCTGATAATATATATATATATATACATATACTGTATGGATATTCTAACCCGGACGTGATTTCGAAAATCGTCGGATTTACGCGTGAGGTAGCATCCCAGTTGTGACATTCGCCATGGATTTGGTGTTTCTCAGGAGAGTTGCGCTGGGTGAATCAAACAACAAGTCAAGGGGCTTCTTAACTTCACACACAAAACCTGTAACTTCTGATGTGCATCTGGTTTTTGAATGCTTTGAACGTGACACTTGAATTGGGGCCTTCGAAACCGCCCAGGCCTTAAACTTTGTGCGCTTCCAACTCTTCATCTGTGGCGTAGAAGTGCCACACATTCGGGGCATAGCAGTGAAAGCAAGTCGGCCAACCAATGACTTTGATTTCCTGTAGCCATTTGTCGCCTGTAAATGTAGATGTACCTGGCTTCTGTGGGTTCCCAGGGGTGTTGCTGAGGCCGTGTTCCGCCAATGGCTGTCAGGTTGTACATATAGTAGGCACTGACCCAGCCAGAATAAGTTGAGCGAAAAGACGGCTATTTCTTGTCTTTGCCAATTTGAAGCGTCCTGCGTTGCGAATATGAGTACAGTGTAGGTCAGATTTTTGATGGAATTCATCTGAAGTCACTTGTTTTTTGTCACTCTTGCACTAGGTGGCATTTATCATTCACAAAGGAGGTTGAACCACGACAAATTGTTTACTAATGTCATTACTAATGTCATTGGATCTGAATTCTACCCGTACCTCTTTGATCCACCCGTGTTTGTCTCCTCATGTATCGTAGGTTTTGGTATTCCTATCTTGTCTGCTTGAGTTCTATCATCATGTAACACTGTATCGTTGAATGCAACAAGTTGCAGCATGTGAACCGCCATTGTATCCATTGTCTCCGCATTTATAGATTTTATAGTCATGTATTAGTCATCTATTCACCATGCTCATCGCCATGTTGGCCATGGCAGGGCAAGCCCTTCGCAAGCAGTGGTTGGCAGGGCCCAGTGACAGCGTTTAACCTGGCCCAGTGATGTTCATTTTTGTTGCATGGTGGAATAGCCCATGGGTACTTCAGGTTGGATGAGTTTGGGTTGTCAGAACATGTTGAAACCATCCTTTGCACTTTTAACCCAAGAATTGGCTGGTCAAGGATTGCTTTAGGGGACAACATTGTGGGTAAACATTGGTGTTTAGCTTTCCTTTGCACCTTCAAAAAGGCTCGTTCGGGTTGAGGTGGAACGGTTCGGCCAAGACTTTCTTGATGTCGTTTGATGTGGTTTGGTATGACTTCTTGACTTTGCTAGTCAACAAGGAATGAGGATGAATCGATGGGTGATGAGTGCGCGGGATTGATAGTCATCAAATTGTCCATTGCCCTTACTTCAGCTTCTTGACATCCAGCCCATTGATTTGGGACAGCTTTGGCTCAACATCAGGAGGCAAGGACAAAATACATGGAGCCCAGAACGTTTCAAGTCCTTGAAGGCCACATGTGAGGCTAGAACACCATGTTTTTGTTAACCAAAACTATGATGTGGGATGCAGCGGTTTCAGAAAACATGTTTTTTGAACAAGTTGTGGAGATCTTGGGGGTTCAAAGTTCAAAGTGATTTTTGTGTGTGACTTAGCACGTGGCAGCCCATCCTTATTCATTAAACCCGATGCTCGCAGCACCTCAGAAACACATGGCTTTGCATGCTGACTTTAGCCTTTTACCCTGCAGCCAGCGCCTTCGGACTGATCGTTCCAGGGATTCCAGGGGAGCTGCAGAAGCTTTGCTGAATGTGCTATTTTGTTGCTACACATAGCAGTATAGAAAGTTGCCTTGGTGCAATGCATGTGAGTCCACAACCCGGAGCTTCAACATTTACAGTAGCATTCTGTTTTGATAGCCAAAATTAGTCTTCAGAGACCAGGCGCAGCAATAGAACAATAGAATTCATGATTTTTTTTACCAATGGCTTCATTCAACACATTGCATATTCCAGGTTGCTACTGGGAAGGCGCCCCAGCTACCACTGGAGGGTGCCTCCCTTCACCGCCGCGGTGCTTGTTTGCTCCTCGGGGCTGCCCTGGGCTTTGCCGGTGCTCGGCGCCGGGCGCGGGCCGAAGCGGCTTTGACGGAGGAGCAGAAGATTGCCATTCTGCAGGAGGGGATAGGAACTCTTGGCCAGCGGAATTTTGGGGTAAGATAGATTCAGATCATTCAGATGATGATGAAAGATGATGAAAGTAGGTTTTGCCAACTTGGGAGTTGGAAAGGGATGCGGGGCTTGGCATTGCGGATGAGAATTGCTGTGGAGAATTTGGTTGTTTCCTGGAAGAATTCAGTGGGGCACCTATATTGGACCCAGGCCTAGCTGAATTTGGGCAGAGGTAATTGTGCAATTGAAATAGATGCGCACATCATGCCAAATCTATCCAAATCTTGGTTTGGGTCCGCCTCGACGCCTCCTGGGCAGTAGATCCTGCCACATCACTTTCACTAGGAAGTTCAGAGCATGGGGGATATTGCTGTGAACGCGCCCACTGTGCAAGAAGAAGAGGCTGCATGGACCAAGATGCTGGACCGTTTTGCAGGGCTTCCTGACATTGAGGTCAGAGTCCGATGTTGCCTGTCATGATGCTGACCTTTTTTCCCTGCTTTTTCCGTGCGCTCAGTTTTTCTCGAACAAAACTGAAAAAAAATGATATGTGGCTGAGGCAACCGCGGCAACTCCTTGGCTCGCCAGGGCAAGTTGCAGGAAGCCTTAAAGGACTACGACCGAGCCATTGAGCTGGTCCCTAGTGCTGCAGATCCACATCTGAACCGTGGAGCTGTCTATGAATCCTTGGGCCGATTAGAGGAAGCCCTGAAGGATTATGATGTGGTCTTGCCACTTGGAAAAAAGGATGGAATTTTATATAATATATATTATATATAATATAATATATTGATATACTGTAGTATTTACATATGTATAGAAATATATTATTATTATTATTAAAATATTATTAATAATAATAGTTAATAATATAAATGTAAATGTAAACATAAGTATAAATAGTTAATATAAATATGTGCGTGTGCTTATGTTTATATATCATGTTTATATATCATGTTTTAGTGCAGTGTTGCTTGAGGGGTCCCGGAAGGGTTGAGCATCGCTGGGCAAACACATCAACGCAGCCCCAGATTGACTCACAACGTATTAATGTACTTTGGTGTTCTATTCATTCTTGAGGAATACGTAGCTGGGGTTTCATTCACCCTTTGGCACTGAGTGGTTCCACCAATTTCCAACGCTTAGGCAGGACGATCCTACAGACCCGGCCGCGTGGAACAATCGTGGCAACGCTCTGCTGGGTCTACAACGCTTTGAAGAAGCGAAAGATTCCTTTCAACAAGCTTTGGATATTTCAGGACTGGTCCTGAGATTGTCCAAACACAATAAATGTCATTTGAGCAGCTTGAGGTGTGTTCGGACGCATTGACATGACAGGTTGATATCGCATTGACATGGCAGGTTGATACTGTAACTGATAAGGACACTGCCCCAGAAAGGAGTTTATAAACGTTTGTAGATTGTAGATCGGGAAAAAGTCCATGGGGCCACTGCTCCTGCAATGACTTTTGCAGGATCCCAGCAATTCGCTTTTGCTGGCGTCAACCTGGCCATTGCTCAGTATGAACCTGGGTTCGATCGATCTCAATCGCAGTTTTTTTCAGCCCTTTCAAGGCTTTCTTTGGTGTGTTGAAACTCAGGAGTCCATACCTTGACCCTCAAAGGACCAACAAACATGGACAAGAGCAACATGTTTAGCTTACACTCTTTTATATATAGTTCCATTAAGTTCCATACAGTTTCGAGTTTCGAGAGTTGGAACTTCAAGTTGGTACAGTGGCCTCAAATATCTCAAGGAGCTCAAGGAGGACGAGGAGGCAGTGAAGACCTTGCGCAAGCTGCTGGCCAGGTATGCCGAGGCTTTCCCGGACGCCCGGGCGGCCTACGCCTTGGTTCTATGGGATCAGGGGGATCGGATCGAAGCAGAGCCTTGGAGGGACAATGGGCGACGAGACGATGATGGAGGGATTGAAACACTGGGATTTGGGGTTGATGGCATGGTTGGAAGTACATGTAAATATATGTAAACATTTATAATTACACACACATATATTATATATATATAATATCGAAATAATATGAAATAATTGGGATTTTATATGCTTGGTGTTGGTCATTTAAGGATACACATTTGGGTATAAATGGGAAGAATACCTACCTTGTATGTCCCACGTGTAATTTCGTCCTTTGATCATAATGCTATCGCCAGATGGGATGCCAAACTGGACTGGGCCAATGCTCAATCATGGATTTTTGGGGTTGGTTCCGGAGGGGAAATGTGTCATCCGAGAACAGATTTGGTTGCGAAGTCATATGGCAGTGACGAGAACGAGTGACGAGTGCTAAAACTGCTAAGTGTTAGCATGGCTGATAATACACCGTAATGATGCATTATGGGTTATATGATGACACACACACAGGTATATATAATATATATATTATATTATATATATATTATATATACATGGTTGACTGGTTGCTTTATGAAGTATGATGCATTTTATGTGTAGAACATGTGGGGAACATGCTTGGACAAGATGATCCTCATGTCCTCGTGCTCCAGGAGTCGCAATGGGACCGTGCCACCAGCGCGGACCCGCGATATCGCTCGGAAGAGTGGGTGTCAACCTTTCGGCGATGGCCAACACGTTTGATGTCAGTGTTCAAGCGCTTCTCTGCCACCACCAGTGTGAAGGTGAAGTGAGGCACTCCTAATATTCATTAATATTCCAAAATTATATGAAAAGAAAAAACATCCTCAGCCTAGCAAATCCTTGGCAAAGTTATGCAAAGTTGGCCCTTGGCCATAAGGCTGCTGATAGATTTTCAGTGCACAAATCTTGGCACAAAAAGTTGGCACTACGGGCCGGAAAAGCTATAAAGGTCTATAAAGGGCAGTATGGGTTGCCAATCACACCACCTACTTTCAGGGCAAATCTTGATCATGGAGGGAGAAAATATCGTCGAAATTCTCAAGCTTGGCCATGTGGAGTTGCACGGATCATGCTCTCCGTCGCTGAGGTGAAAGAAGCATCCCCGAAAGAAGCGAAATCTTCAGGAGCTCGGCAAAACACGCATTTGTCCCATCAAGCCGGCAGTGGTTCCTCATAGTTGACGAGTTCAAGACAGGTTGAAGCAACTGTCAACAGACTCCAGCACAAAAGTAGAACTGAAGATGATTATGACTGACCAGCAGGATCAACCAATAGGACAGCTACAAACAGCAACAGCAACTGTTTCTAGAATATGGTGCTACCAATGCAAGACATGAATCAGACTCGAGGATCTAGCGGCTGGCCAACCAGTTTCTACATCGCTTTGGCCATCACAGTTTTCGCCTGGAAACTCAGTGCTGCAGTGAAGCCGGTCTTGGCCTTGAGAACTTGGTGTGGCTGACAATCAGGAAAGGTTCACGGAGGGTATGGGGCTCGCAGGACACTAAGGAGAACATCAGGGACTTTCACATGGGTTGACTGGTTCTGTGGATCATGACTTGAATCATGACTTGAATCATGACTTTGGATCAATTTTCACCGTTTCTGGATGTTTCTGGTAGTCTTTTAGGCCCAAGTTTCTAGTGATCCGTCGGATTTAAGCTGCCATGAGCAAGATCATCAGCAGGCCAGCAGGTGCCAGGATGGACCGCCGCCGCACGGAAGGGGATCATCACTACCAGGCGGGGTCTGTTTGATAGCAACCAGTTGACAGAGCACCCATTTACTTACCATTTTGTGTCAAGTATAAGGGGACGTATTTAAACATACATATATCGATATATAATCCATAAATAGGTATGTGTAGATCTTTACCTATCTATTTGCATATGCATATGTATATATATATATATATACATACTCAGAAATAGGCGTGTATAGATCTTTACCTATCTATATGCATATATGCATATATCATATATATATATAATATACATATATTATATACATGTATATACATTATATACATGTTTGTTTTTTCCTTAAAAAGAAAAAAAACATGTTATATCATATCTTCGGACTGCAGCCCAGACACACAAATCACCGAAGATCATTTTGTTATGGGGCAATTGGGCTCCCAAAAAGGCTTCGGCTGGTGAAGGTAGGAGGTGCCCTGATCTTAGCAGAAAACACAAGCCTTGCAAATCTTTACGGATATCATTCAGTGGGTCAAAAAAAGCCCGGCAATTGAAACTTCAGATGTTTCATGATTTTTCCTAATCAACCCACTTGAACCAGATCAGGTGGATCCAAACAGCCCAGCATCGCGAGGTTCGCATTAACGACCTGTCCAACAAAATGACCCGGCAGGGGTCCATCTCCCTGGCCATGCGGAAGGTCAGGGGCGGCGGGGGCCTGGCAATGACACACAGTTACCACCTGCTTTGATGTTCTGTCAGGAGAGCAAGAAGTATAGACCAATGCCGGCCTTGTTCCAACTCCCTGACACGCGGCTGCAGCCACCTTCGCCTTCGAAATTCTCTCCCTTGGCGGCTCACCCGTTGAGCACAGCTGCACAGGCCGAAGATCCAAGGAGTTGGGGACTGCGAGTTGGGATCCCCTCTCCCAATGCAAACGGAATATGTATGAATATGTAATATGTATGAATATGTAGGGGCATGTTGGGGGAGTATTCAATTGTCAGATTTCTTCCAGTTTTCCTACTTGTTACTTGGGTTGATGCTCTATGATGGTCCCAGGTGATTGGTATTCATTGGTATTGATTGGTATTGTATTGATTTTGATGCCTTCGGTCGCGCATATTATTGGTGTGGGATGGCTTGTCGGTTGAAGATGTTGAAGGTGCCAAGGTGTACCATTCAACCATGAAAAGATTAGCCTGGGTGTCAGCGAGTATCGGAAACGAGTTTGAGCTTGCAGATCAAGAGGCTTGTGCCTAGTCATGCCAATTTCCACTAAAATCACAAAAAAGGCAAAAATGCAGTATGCATGATTGAGGGTGGTAGTGTGTGCACATGTGCATGTTTTGTACATGGGAAATGGAGACGGGAGGTTGAGTATCGTCCTCATTCAGACCCCAGTCAGAAAAGTCCATTAGACTGTGCGGCTAGACATGGCAGGTGTAGCAGAAAGTCGCCAATGTTTGTTTTTCGCCAGGAGGACCACTGGCATGTTGAACCGGCGTTCCACCCTTCCAGCATTGTTGGATGTGAACAGCGAAGCCTTGATGCTCTCGCGGCAGTTGCATTTGGATTTTCACGAAGTGAAATGTGTTGTAGCCTGGCCAGGCAGACGGGAGGATTTGGGATTGGTGTCCCCGTGATTTATGAGGAGTAGTGCATAAGGAATCCAGTTGGCAAATAGTAGATTATGATAATGACTTATTACGAAAGCCAGCCGAAGGCCTGGGCTGAGTATAGGTATAAGCGAAGCGAAGCGAAGCTAATCTGGGGGGTGTGGGGGGGGGGGAGGCTCTGATTCGGGCCCGTCGGAGCCTGGCTGGGGAGAGCGCCAAAAATGAGCTGCCGCCCCCCCGTTTTTTGAAGCTTGAAAGAGAAGCTCCAGTTTGGACACTTTTGGTTGTTTTCTGACGTTTTTCATTGGGTGTCAAAAGCAAAAACACTGTAATTTACAGTGTTTTTGGGCTTTTGGCATGGAAAAAGTACTTCTTGCAACATGCTGAAAACTGCGTAAATACCACTGTTTTTGCTAGGTGCCGGCCCAAAAAACACTGTAAATACCGTGGTTTTTGCTACCAGGAGCAAAAAACACCGTAAATACCGTGGTTTTGGGCTTGCGAGGCGTAAAACAACACGGTATTTACGGCGTTTTTTGCTCCGAGACGCTTCAAATAACACGAAAACATTATGAAATTGACGATTTTTCGGCTTTAAAAATAAACTTTTTTTTGCTTTAGAAATGCCTGTAAAAAACACGCAGCACCAACAACACAAACAACACCAACAACACCAACAACACCAACAACACCACCACCACCACCAACAACAACAACAACAAGAAGGTACAAACAAACACTGGGACCCCGTTCTCTCTATATCTCCCTTTTTGTTTCTACCCTTAAGGGTACAAACAAACACTGGGACCCCGTCGTTGTTATTTAGGCCCCCCCCAACAACAACAACAACAACAACAACAACAACAACAACAACAACAACAACAACAACAACAACAACAACAACAACAACAACAACAACAACAACAACAAGAACAACAAGAACAACAACAACAAGAACAAGAACAACAACAACAACAACAACAACACATACCTTTCATTTCTCCATGTGCTGGACTCCTTTTTGAGCCGTGAGCGGCCGAGATCTTCCAAAAAGGGGCCCACCGCCACATCAGCTCAGACCTTTACCTTTTTCCAGGCGCTTGACCCCTTATTGAGCCGTGAGCGGCCGAGATCCTCCAAAAAGGGGGCCGCCACCACATCAGTTCAGACCTTTACCTTTTTCCAGGCGCTTGACCCCTTATTGAGCCGTGAGCGGCCGAGATCCTCCAAAAAGGGGCGCCGCAACCTGACATCAAACGTTCTGCCATTTGGTTCTTCTCAGTGCCTTTGCCACACATAGAGGCTGTACCACTGTCAGCTCTCTCGGTTCCTGTCCTCTGTGCGTGTCTGCTTGTCAGGGTTGCTTTTTGGCAGATCCCTTTCCCGAAACACTGTTCGGAATGACCTTTGCCGAGCACACCTTTCACACCAGGCTGGCCTAGCTCAGTTGGTAGAGCAGATGGCTCTTAACCTAAAAGTTGAAGGTTCAACCCCGGCGTGGGTCATGTGCCTTTCTTTCCTGTTGGCCTTTGCCTGCACGGTAGTTCGTGTTCTTCTTCTTGAGGGAAAGTGCATTGCTTCTTTGCAAGAGGATCCCGCTGAAGATAACGAGGGACAAGTTCAAGCCCTTGCACTGTAGTGGCGCAATAGAAGCAGGCCAAGCATAAACTATCTTCAGCGGGATCCTCTTGCAAAGAAGCAATGCACTTCCCCTCAAGAAGAAGAACACGAACTACCGTGCAGGCAAAGGCCAACAGGAAAGAAAGGCACATGACCCAAGCCGGGGTTGAACCTTCAACTTTTAGGTTAAGAGCCATCTTCTCTACCAACTGAGCTAGGCCAGCCTGGTGTGAAAGGTGTGCTCGGCAAAGGTCATTCCGAACAGTGTTTCGGGAAAGGGATCTGCCAAAAGAAAGCAACCCTGACAAGCCGACAAGCACAGAGGGCAGGAACCGAGAAAGCTGACGGTGGTAACAACCTCTGTGTGTGGCGAAGGCACTGAGAAGAACCAAATGGCAGCACGTTTGACGTCAGGTTGCGGCGCCCCTCTTTCGAGGATCTCGGCCGCTCACGGCTGGAAAAGGGGTCCAGCGGTAGATAAGGAGAAGCCGATCAGCAAAAGAAGCAGTCCAGTTTCCCTTCACAGAAGCGGAGGTCAAGTTCAAGCCCTTGCATTGTAGTGGCGCAGCGAAATCCTCTTGCAAAGAAGCAAAGCACTTTCCCTGCGCCAAAGAAATAGCAAGTTGAAGCCGAAATGGGAGCTACATAAATGTCAAGTTGCGGCGCCCCTTTTTGGAGGATCTCGGCCGCTCACGGCTGGAAAAGGGGTCCAGCACAAGGAAAAAGGTAGAAATCTGAAATCAGATGCTGCTGGACCCCTTTTTGGAGGATCCAGAACGCCGGCAGCACAAAAAGGGGCTCAGCAGCTAGAAAATGAAAGGCAAGATCATGGAACTCCAAACGAACAGGCTGCGGGACCCCTTTTGGCCAGATTTGGGCTGCAGGATCCCCAAAAAGGGCTCCAGCGGCTAGAAAATGAAAAGCTAAATCATGGAACTCCAAACGAACAGGCGGCGGGACCCCTTTTGGCCAGATTTGGGCTGCAGGATCCCCAAAAAGGGCTCCAGCGGCTAGAAAATGAAAAGCTAAATCATGGAACTCCAAACGAACAGGCTGCGGGACCCCTTTTTGCCAGATTTGGGCTGCAGGATCCCCAAAATGGGGTCCAGCAACCTGAAAAATCACACTGATACAAAGCGAACCTGCTGGACCCCTTTTTGCCAGATTTCGACGCCAAAAAGGTACAAAAAGGGGCCCAAGAAGCTTTTACAGAGGTAAAAAAAAGAGCCAAAAGTCTGCACCAAAATTCTTTTTTAAAACGGTGCCAAACTCCAAGGACACCCTTAAGGGGCACAAAGCAAATTCCAAAATAAGCTCGAATACCTTATTCTAAGGGCCCCAGTCTTTGTTTGTACCAACAACAACAGCAACAGCAACAGCAACAACAACAACAATAACAACAATGTGAAAAAGCGTGTGTGTGCGTAAAAGGGTCTGTGTGTAAAAGGGTCTGTTTGTAAAAGTGTCTGTGTGTAAAAGGGTTTGTCTGTAAAAGTGTTTGTGTGTAAAAGGGTCTGTGAGTAAAAGCATTTCTGTGTAAAGATGTTTGTGTGTAAAAGGCTCTGTGTGAAAAAAGCGTTTGTGTGTAAAGGCGTCTGTGTGTGAAAGGGTCTGTGTGTAAACGGGTCTGCATGTAAAAGCGTCTGTGCGTAAAGGTGTCTGTGTGTTAAAGTTTTTGTGTGTAAAAGGGTCTGTGTGAAACAGCGTCTGTATGTCAAAGGGCCTGTGTGTAAAAGTGTCTCTGTACAAGTGTCTGTGTGTAACAGGGTCTGTGTGTAAAAGCATGTTTGTGTAAAGGTGTTTGTGTATAAAAGGGTCTGTGTGTAAAAGCGTCTGTCTGTAAAAGCGTCTCTGTGCGAAGATGTTTGTGTATAAAAGGGTTTGTGTGAAACCGTGATTCCGTGTAACGAGGTTTGTATGTACACTGGTCTGTGCGTCTGTATGTGAAATTTCGTCCGCGTGTTGTTTGTTCCTATTTTGTTTTATTGGTTGTGTTTTTCTTTCTGAATGATATTTCGACGGTTAAGAGTCGCATCTTCTAACGCCGTACATGCCCAGCAAGGACCCCGGACCCCTGACAAATTTTGCGTTTGGGTTCAACGATGTGGCACTGTAATCGAAGAGACCCGTGGAATGGCTGACCTGCTTGGGGCCTGAATCTTTCTCGAGGTAATGAGAGAAACGCGTCATGGTAGCATGGTAGGTATACGCGAAGCGACGGGAAGCTATTAATCTAGGGGGTGTGGGGGGGGGGGCTCTGATTTGGGTTTGTTTCGGACAGTGAGGCTGGCTGGGGAGAGCCGCAAAAAATCCCGTTGCGCACTTCCGTTTTGTGGAGCTTGAAAGAGAAGCTCCAATTGTTTTTTTTTTTGTTGTTGTTGTTGCTGCATTTTTTTTAAACCTTGTTAAAACCAAAAAAATGGTCAAATAGATGGTATTTACGTGTTGTTTGAAGAGTGTCGGAGTAAAAAAGACCTTTTCACCATGTTTTTCACGCCTCGTACGCCCAGCACCACGGTATTTACGATGTTTTTTCTCCTGGTCGCGAAACCACGGTATTCGCAGTGTTTTGTGGCCAGCTCCTAGCAAAAACAATCTGTTACGCAGTTTTCAGCATGTTGCAAGAAGTACTTTTCCCATGCCAAAAGCACAAAAAGACTGTAACTTACAGTGTTTTGGCGACTACTACTACTACTACTGCTGCTACTACTACTACTACTACTACGACTACTACGACTACCACGACTACTACTGTGTGTAAAAGCATTTCTTTGTATAGATGTTTGTGTGTCAGAGGGTCTGTATGTAAAAGCCTCTGTATGTAAGAGCGTCTGTGTGTGTAAACTACTACTAGTACTACTACTACTACTACTACTCCTACTCCTACTGCTACTGCTACTGCTACTGCTACTACTACTACTACTACTACTACTACAACTACAACTACAACTACGACTACTACTGTGTGTAAAAGCATTTCGGTGTAAAGATGTTTGTGTGTAAAAGGGTCTGTATGTAAAAGCCTCTGTGCGTAAAAGCGTCTGTGTGTAAAAGTGTTTCTGTGTAGAGATGTTTGTGTGTAAAAGGGTCTGTGTGTAAAAGTGTTTGTGTGTAAAAGCGTCTGGTCTGTGTGAAAAAGCGTGTGTGTGCGTAAAAGGGTCTGTGTGTAAAAGGGTCTGTGTGTAAAAGTGTCTGTGTGTAAAAGGGTTTGTGTGTAAAAGCATTTCTGTGTAAAGATGTTTGTGTGTAAAAGGGTCTGTGTGAAAAAAGCGTCTGTGTGTAAAGGCGTCTGTGTGTGAAAGGGTCTGTGTGTAAAAGGGTCTGTGTGTAAAAGCGTCTGTGCGTACAGGTGTCTGTGTGTAAAAGCGTTTGTGTGTAGTGTAAAAGGCTCTGTGTGTAAAAGCGTCTCGGTGTAAAAGCGTCTCTGTGTGAGGACTTGATGTGTAAAAGAGTCTGTGTGTCAAAGTGTTTCTGTGTAAAGATATTTGTGTGTAAAAGGGTCTGTGTGTAAAAGTGTTTGTGTGCACAAGTGTCTGTGTGTAAAAGGGTCCGTGTGCAAAAGCATGTGTGTGCGTAAAAGGGTCCGTGTGTAAAAAGGTCTGTGTGTAAAAGTGTCTGTGTGTAAAAGCATTTCTGTGTTAAGATGTTTGTGTGTAAAAGGGTCTGTGTGTAAAAGCGTCTGTGTGTCAAGGCGTCTGTGTGTAAAAGGGTCTGTGTTTAAAAGCGTCGCTGTGTGAAGCTGTTTGTGTGTAAAGGCGTTGTGACAAAAGTGTTTCTGTGTTAAGATGTTTGTGTGTAAAAGGGTCTGTGTGAAAAAGCTTCTGTGTGTAAAAGGGTCTGTGTGTAAAAGCGTCTGTGTGTAAACATGTCTGTGTGTAAAAGAGTCTGTGTGAAAAAGCGTGTGTTTGTGTAAAAGGGTCTGTGTGTAAAGGCGTCTCTGTCTAAATATGTTTGTGTGTAAAAGGGTCTGTGTGTAAAAGTGTTTGTGTGTAAAAGCGTCTGTCTGTCAAAGTGTCTGTCTGGAAAACATGTGTGTGCGTACCATGGTCTGTGTGTAAAAGTGTTTGTGTGTAAAAGTGTCTCTGTGTAAAAGGGTCTGTGTGTAAAAGCATTTCTGTGTAAAGATGTTTTTGTGTAAAACAGTCTGTGTGTAAAAGGGTCCGTGTGTTACAGCGTCTCTGTGTAAAGATGTTTGTGTGCAAAAGGGTCTGTGTGTCTGTGTGTAAAACCTTCTGTGTGTAAAAGTGCCTCTGTGTAAAGAGGTTTGTGTGTAAAAGGATCTGTGTGTAAAAGTGTTTGTGTGTAAAAGCGTCTGTGTGTAAAAGGGTCCGTGTGAAAAAGCGTGTGGGTGTGTGTGTGTGTAAAAGGTTCTGTGTGTAAAAGCCTCTGTGTGTAAAAGGGTCTGTGTAAAAGCGTCTGTGTGTAAACGGGTCTGTGTGTGTAAAAGCATTTCTGTGTAAAGATGTTTGTGTGTAAAAGAGTCTGTGTGTAAAAGGGTCTGTGTGTCTGTGTGTAAAACCTTCTGTGTGTAAAAGCGTCTCTGTGTAAAGAGGTTTGTGTGTAAAAGGGTCTGTGTGTAAGAGTGTTTGTGTGTAAAAGCGTCTGTGTGTAAAAGGGTCTGTGTGAAAAAACGTGTGTGTGTGTAAAAGGGTCTGTGTGTAAAAGCCTCTGTGTGTCAAAGGGTCTGTGTGTAAAAGCGTCTCTGTGTCAAGATGTTTGTGTGTAAAAGCGTTTGTATGTAAAAGGGCCTGTGTGTAAAAGTGTCTGTGTAAAAGTGTCTGTGTGTAAAAGGGTCTGAGTGTAAAAGCATTTCTGTGTAAAGATGTTTGTGTGTAAAAGGGTCTGTGTGTAAAAGGGTCTGTGTGTAAAAACGTCTCTGTGTGAAGATGTTTGTGTGTAAAAGGGTTTGTGTGAAGAAGTGTTTCTGTGTAACGAGGTTTGTCTGTAAAAGGGTCTGTGCGTCTGTGTGTAAAACTTCTTCATCTTGTTGTTCTTTCCTATTCTGTTTCATTGTTTTTGTTCTTCTTTCTTAATGACATTTCCACGGTCAAGGGTCGCATCTTCTAACGCCGTACATGCCCAGCAAGGACTCCAGACAAATTTTGAGATGCTTGTCTATATTTTGCCTCTGGAAACGTTTGGTTTCAACGATGTGGCACTGTAATCGAAGAGACCCGTGGAATGGCTGAGCATAAAGCGCAAAGAAAAAAACGCCACCTGAGCATTTGTTTGGAGGCTGGCTTTCGTCCCCCCCCTTCTCAGGTGTATGTTTTAGGCGCTCAGATGTTTCAATCCACTCCGTGTTGGAATGGAACACCGCTGCAGCTTGCTAGTTGCTGAGCCGAAAGAGGCAAAGCCAGGAAGGGTTTCCACAAATCGGGATACCCCAAAAACTGGATGGTTTTTGTTAATGGAAAATCAATCGATAAATGGATGATTTAGGGGTACCCCCATTTCAGGAAACTAAACCTCCAAACAATCATGAAACACGAGGACATTTCGGACTTTGGCTGAGAATGACCATCCCTCCTGCAGATCTTGTGACGATGAATAGTCAATCTATGTCACGGTCATGGCATGTGGCATGGTATGTTCCTTAGGTACAGGAGCTGCGGCGAGATACCAAGCGCAAGTCGAACGGTGGAATGGACTTGCCGACTTTCCGACAGATGATGCTGCGTGTGTTCCTGGGCGAAGAACCTCTTGATCTGATGATGTTGATGAGTGACCGAAGCGTTGAAGCAGTTGGGTAGATACTGATTTGGGGAACCGTTGAAGAATCCTTTGGTTTGACATGTTCATCCCAGTGTTGACTGGAGCTGGTTCCAACTTGAGCCACTCTTGAGAATGCAGCTAACCAAGTTTGCGGCTCTTGATGAAACAAGTTGGATTCTTCAATGGATGAATGGTGAAGTTCCCACATGAAGGGTGAGTGTTTATCGAATGTTCCTCCTCTACCTTTATCATTTTTTATCTACTTTTCAGTTTTTGCTGTGCCTGTCTGGTTGTAGGGGATCAGTGCTTCGCCCTTTGCATGGAGCGCAGGAGCAATGCCAGCCTCGTCTCAATTGGAGACTTGAGCTGATCACGATTTAGGTGTTTCTAGTCACTCTGTTCCTTTTTTCACTTGTTTGGTTCAGTGTTTAAAGAAACGATGGTTCTTAGAAATCATCCTGCCATATCCTGCCAATTGTTTGGGCAGTTATTTCCCCAGCACATTTTCGTAGCTTCAACCTCCAGGTTTGGCCTCGAAGAGATCAATGAGTTCGTGTTGCAGGACCTGTCAGCTGATTCTAGGGATCCTGCGGATGTTGTCCGTTGGCCTGGTGCAGGACGCCTATGACCAGTGCCAAGCAGTCGCCGGCCCCATTGACTCCAGGAAGTTCATGACTTGGTCCTTTGGTTCATTTTGGTTCACTTGTCAGCCCCATGTCAGTCCCCAATACTCCATACTATCGGAAGACCTTTTTATATATACATTTTTGTGCCATTTTTTCCAAGGCCGCACACGACTGCCCCTTTGTGGCTCTTTGTGGTGCTGTCACCCTGCCATTTTCTTTTTATGTGTTTTTCAATGTTATGATGAAATAGCCCTAGCATTGCCCATATTTCCCAGGGTGGTCCAGGTTCTGTTTCATCGTTCCTCTTCGAAGCTTCGGAATAGTCGTGTAATGAGCTGGCATTGGTGAAGCTACGAAGCGGAACATCATGAATCATGATTGACCTGGAAATCTGAAATTGAGCAACTGTGATGTTTACGAGATTCTGGGAAACCCTCCTGGCTCTCGTTCGTTGATTTATCTTGAGACATGACATGACCATTCTGATCGGACTATTGCCATGCCCTTGTTCTATATTTCCAAAGGGCCCGCCGGGCCGGCCTCATGATATGAAGGGATACAAGTACAAGGGATGCCGTTCTTGTGGACATGCATTTTGCGGTTCTTGTTGTTTGAAATAGTCCACTCGGGCCGCCAAGTAAGTGAGAAAAACAGAAGCAACTTGGAAGTGCGGAACCTATTTGAAAATCACAGCCTTTAACAGCCAAATCATCTATAAATAATTTAATTATTATATAAATGGGGCATATTCATCCATTTTCCATAGCATAATTCAATTTTAATTGTCCAGTTCATCCATGTTCATCCGTTTTCAACAGGTAAAACTATCCATTTTCATCCACAGCTATGGCAATTTACTGCATTGTATATACAATATACATATGGCTTATATATATATATTTGTTTGTGTGTGTGTGTGTTCAAGCTGTCCTTCCATGCTGAGCCAAGGTACCGTGATCACATTTTCAATCTCCAGGCGCCGTCCAGGGGTGTTGTTACCATCCAGTTGCAAACATGGTTTACACTTGCTTGGTTTGTAAATTTCACCATCATAATTTGGCATCGATTTAAAATTTAATGAACTTAATGATTAATGACTATCATGGTGAGAATGATGATCTCTAAAATAAACGCAATGATAAAAACCATCAACATAATAATAATCATAATCATCATCACCATCATAGTTATCATCATCATCTTCTTCATCATCATCATTATCATCATCACCACCACCACCAGTGCTTTTTTCGGATATCCTCCCCAGCTCCTACGTTCGCTCAAGGCATCGAAGGCGCACGCCGACAGTGGAGATGATCTGACCCTGGACTTGGCCAAGAAGTGACCCAGTTGCAGTGCAGTTGAGGTTTAAACCTATGGGTATAACCATGGTTATCAACCCTATAAGTTGGGATATAATTAATCCCTATAATTACGTAGAGTTATATGTTGTTTTATCATTCATCATTAGATACTGTCATATAGCATATATAGGTATATATCATTATATATCCACATATATCATATATCCACTCATATCTGGAACTGCACTTCCGAGATGGGATGAATAAAATTGAGTATTATAATGAGGTTCTTCGGGATTGGAAAGGCATGATGACTGCCCTCGACAATAGAACGACTGCATGACTGAAGCACTTTGGATATGCGGTCAGGTTTGAATTTCTCGCTTCCGCGTATTGACTGCAATACGGTGTTTGTCGGTGCTTCGTCGTAACTCTCAATCAGTCTAATTACAGCACATTTTTTAACATGTTTGAAAACTATGCATACTATTGGGATCATGCTTACCCTCTGGTGAACTAACATAGCAATGGAAAATCACCATTTTTAATGGGAAAATCCACTATAAATGGCCATTTTCCATTGCTATGTTAGTTCACCAGAGGGTAATTGCTAGATCATTGTCAATACCGTGCAACGAGTGAGGGTGGTCAGACATGGTCAGACGGGTGGCCACCAGGCATCAAATCTCGTGCATTGACTTGGACAAAGTGAAGTTGAAATTTGATCACTTTGACGTTGACAAATCGGGCGCGACTCGGCCAATGAAGTGCTATGATCACGCTGCTTGAAAAATACTGGAATGATCCTAATCGATAGAACATCAGCGAATGATTAGCTGCTAATCTATGAGCATGCTAAGAATTATTTTCTGGATTTTTGGTTCATTCGGGCATTGAACAGTGAAACCTTGGGAGCAGATCCTGTCTTTCAACTGACTGAGGTGATTGACTTCCAAGAGTTTGAGGCTATGATGTACGAACTTCTTCATTGCCACAGCCGCTGGGTTGCAGCTTTTTGCGCTCTCATTTGTCCAAGTGATCTATGATTATTATTAGCCAGCTTTGGAGCAGGTCATCAACCCTGCTTTGGGGCGTTGTGTTTATCACACACCAGGAGCCAGGAGCCTGGTGAATGTCCTATCATCTCCTTGCTTCTCCTCACAGATGTGCTATAGGTCAGAATATGTTTAAATATGTTTGAATTATCAACCCCACAAATGAAGGGTTTCATACTAATAGTGACCAATGATGTGGTCCATTGGAATAGCGGAGGATGAAACATATGATACTGTAAATCATCCAGTATATATGCATATAACTGCATCTGCACATACAATGGCATCTTTTCTCCTGAAATACTGTAAACGGCCCGAGGTAAGTCGGATTTGCCCCGCAACCGCTTGAATCGTTTCTGGCACGAAGCCGATATCGACGGCAACGGCGTCATCGACTTCGAGGAGTTTACCGAGTCTTGTGTCGGCAGTTTGTGGGGACGGTTGGGTTACATCAAAGATATCAATATCAAAGCCATTTTTTTTAGTAAAGATAGTAATATCATGTAATATCATCACATGTAGTAATAATATGATAATATTTCATTATACTATCATTACAGGATGTTGTGGATATTCAATATATGGTAATATGTTTCACATTAACAATGGTGTATATATACTGTATATAAATAATAATAGGACAATATAATAATAGGACAATCGAATAATAGGACAATAGAAAGATAATGATAAGATATGATAAGATTGCAACAAGGACAATGGATTTAGCCTCTGGTACTCAGCTCTATGGCCCGGATTATCGGGGATTCATGGGATATGATGGGATACAAATGTTGGGTTTCCACGGCTACATGGTATGTGAAATTAATGACAAATCAATGACTTTCTCTGCAATTAAAATATCGTTGCATATAGTTGCCATTACATACAATTGGTTGCTCTTGGCGCCCTTTGGCTCTTCATTTGTACATATTGTTTGCTTCCTAGCACAGCTGGGGCAGGAGGACCTGAGAGCGATGGAGAAAGAGAGACATATTAAATATGCATGGTACAAAGAACAAGTTTCAGCCGAAAACTGGACCAAATCTTCCGACCAAGCGTTCGACACAGCCTGCAAACAATGAAGGAAGCAAAATGATCGCTGGTTTCAAATTGATGTACAATCAAGTGTTCGGGCCCGGCAAAACCGTCAATGGCACGAACCTGCCAGATGGATGGTTTCAAGAATATTTGAAATCACGCATGGTGGGAATTGTTCATCAACGAGAGGCGGTCATTTTGCACATGGCTTCAGACTACCAAACAGCTGTAGATGTGAAGCAATTGCATTTGAATGCTACAAACTCGCATCACACAACGGATGCGAATTCCGCTGCAGCAAGGAGGAACGCTACAATGTTTCGCTTGACTGCGGGCCATTTACCCTTGTTGCAGTCCAGAGAAAAAACACAAGCATTGGTTGGATTTTCTGCAACAGACTGGCTTGCCATATCAGTATTTGAGTTATGACGATCTCATGTCCAGCAGGCGTGACATTTTTGTCCACATGGTGTTACATGTTGCAATTTCTGGGTGTCAAGGATATCGTGTCATACCCAAAACTGCAATGCCTGCTTCTTCGGATTCACAGAGTCACTTGTGAAGATCGAATAGCCGATTTCAACACAGTGAAGCAACTTATTCGTGGGACCATGTTTGACCGAGCATGCAAAATTCTATGCCGGCGCCAGCAAACTGTTGACAAGCATGTGGTTCCAGGCGATGCGAGCCCAACGTGCAACAAATTTATTGTGCTAACAACGCAGAGAAGCGGTTCAACTGAAGCACTTGGGCATCAACCAGAAGTGCTTTGCCCATTTCATAGTGAAATGCTAATTAATTGAATATAATATGCATGGTACAAAGAACAAGTTTCAGCCGAAAACTGGACCAAATCTTCCGACCAAGCGTTCGACACAGCCTGCAAACAATGAAGGAAGGCAAAATGATCGCTGGTTTCAAATTGATGTACAATCAAGTGTTCGGGCCCGGCAAAACCGTCAATGGCACGAACCTGCCAGATGGATGGTTTCAAGAATATTTGAAAGCACGCATGGTGGGAATTGTTCATCTTGTTCGGGAGGCGGTCATTTTGCACATGGCTTCAGACTACCAAACAGCTGTAGATGTGAAGCAATTGCATTTGAATGCTACAAACTCACATCACACAACGGATGCGAATTCCGCTGCAGCAAGGAGGAACGCTACAATGTTTCGCTTGACTGCGGGCCATTTACCCTTGTTGCAGTCCAGAGAAAAAACACAAGCATTGGTTGGATTTTCTGCAACAGACTGGCTTGCCATATCAGTATTTGAGTTATGACGATCTCATGTCCAGCAGGCGTGACATTTTTGTCCACATGGTGTTACATGTTGCAATTTCTGGGTGTCAAGGATATCGTGTCATACCCAAAACTGCAAGGCCTGCTTCTTCGGATTCACAGAGTCACTTGTGAAGATCGAATAGCCGATTTCAACACAGTGAAGCAACTTATTCGTGGGACCATGTTTGACCGAGCATGCGAAATTCTATGCCGGCGCCAGCAAACTGTTGACAAGCATGTGGTTCCAGGCGATGCGAGCCCAACGTACAACAAATTTATTGTGCTAACAACTAACAACGCAGAGAAGCGGTTCAACTGAAGCACTTGGGCATCAACCAGAAGTGCTTTGCCCATTTCATAGTGGAATGCTAATTAATTGAATATAATATGCATGGTACAAAGAACAAGTTTCAGCCGAAAACTGAACCAAATCTTCCGACCAAGCGTTCGACACAGCCTGCAAACAATGAAGGAAGGCAAAATGATCGCTGGTTTCAAATTGATGTACAATCAAGTGAAAGGGCCCGGCAAAACCGTCAATGGCACGAACCTGCCAGATGGATGGTTTCAAGAATATTTGAAAGCAAGCATGGTGGGAATTGTTCATCTTGTTCGGGAGGCGGTCATTTTGCACATGGCTTCAGACTACCAAACAGCTGTAGATGTAAAGCAATTGCATTTGAATGCTACAAACTCACATCACACAACGGATGCGAATTCCGCTGCAGCAAGGAGGAACGCTACAATGTTTCGCTTGACTGCGGGCCATTTACCATTGTTGCAGTCCAGAGAAAAAGAACACAAGAATTGGTTGGATTTTCTGCAACAGACTGGCTTGCCATATCAGTATTTGAGTTATGACGATCTCATGTCCAGCAGGCGTGACATTTTTGTCCACATGGTGTTACATGTTGCAATTTCTGGGTGTCAAGGATATCGTGTCATCAATATGTATAATACGGGAAAAAAACACCTCAAAACGAAACGTTTTTTTGCAACACTAAGATGGCACACAGGGGTCTGTGGCATGTATTTCTCTTGTTGGTAAAACCATAAATCACATTTAGATTGCATATATAGGGTGGCATGTTGTCTCATCTTAGTCGAGGATGAGACCCAGCAAGTTTTTACTTCCCCGGCCTCCCCTGAATTCGATATGGAGTCCTAGACTGACAGTTCCAAGAAACAACACATTTTCTTGAACCTCAATTATCAGGTGAAATATTTCACGAACGGGGCTGTATGCTACAGTGGCTTGCAGCCCTTCTCCCTCTTCCTGTCAAAAAGTGGTGTGAAAATAAGGTCTATACCCCCCTTTTGTGTTTTTTTCTATTATGGTAAACCCCTGGATTTTGAGTCAACCCAAATGACTGGTTAGCAACTGCTGCCCTTCCAAGGTGGTACTTGAAATATTTCTCGGAAGCCTCAAACAATGGACCGGTGGAAGCCTTCTACGCTTCCTATATGCCCGATGTTCAACGTGCAAACAAGCTGGATTTGATCCAGCCAAAGGACACCTGGGTGTTGGCGAAACGAAATCCTCCTGGAAGAGCCAGCCTGAACAAAATCCACAAACCATTCTTGGCTTCAATGCTGTTCTCCAAGGTGCACATAGTGGATGGAATTTACATTCTCAGGTTCATATCATGCGGATGCGTATGCATGCAATTGCGGACGCAAATATGCAAGCACGCTAGTAAGGACGAGTATGTATTTGCATATGCATACATATGACTTCACATAGTACAAAGATGGTAATGTAAAGAAAAACAATGTACAGGTAACGCAAGGTATGTTTCCATGGTCACATTTTGCTGGCGGACATATGCATACCCGCTTGCAGGAGCCGCTGGGTGAAGGCAAGTGGGATTCAGAGGCACAGTGGTGTTTTTTTACTAGAGGTCAGAGGCAGCAAAGTTCAAACACATCCGGAAGAGTTCTGAAGTTGTTGGCAAACATCACTACTTTCTACTGAAGATGCTCTAATGTTCTATGATTTTCTGCTGAAGCCCACTGCAGGTGATGAAAACGTATTTGCAGGCTAAGTCCTACAGCTCCGCGGAACTTCACTGATAGGTCGCCGTGATTGGAGTACCGGCTGTGATGTTTCATGAACATTATAGCAACCCCCAAAAAAAGAGATAGGACAAGTTGGAAACTTGGAAAATATTAAGAAAACATCATGTGTACAATCCTGAAAATACTTGTCCATCTTTTTGGGTGTTACTATACTTGGACTATGTTCTATCCCCATATGGAAGTTCCAGATGGTAGACACATCAAAGCATTTGGGCATGGATCACAATTTAAGCCCAAACATTATGGGGATACGGCAAATTTGACCTGTACCGATTATACAACCTCATGACTTTATATGTCCCTTCACTTGTCCGTTTGGTACCTTGGTTTGGGGTGTTGAGGATGAGTGATTCCAGAATGTTCCAGGTATATTTAAGCTTATTCAAGAGCTGATGAGGACCAGTCAGTTTGGACAAACTAGTGAAAGCAGCGCAATAAACTTACAAAACTGCTTATGTAGACCGATGTTCACCCACGTTTTTGCCATGACTAGGCTGTAATTTGTCAACAGCACAGTTACATATGTTACATGAATGAAGACGGTTCCGATTTTCTGCACGCTCGAAGCGGTTGCCTCCAGGTCCCTCTTGAAGTTAGACACTCCTTTGCGTGACTCCTTGCGATTTTAAGTAGATTACCGACCCTGGGCCCTGGGTCAATCAGTGTAAAGGATTGCCGAGTCCACAGATGCAAGATGTGCGGTCTCCAAAGCCCTCATGGACTGTTTGGTCACAAGCAGCACGAGCATCACAAACATCACAAGCATCAACATCATCAACGTCATAATCATAACATATCATCACCATCATCACCATCATCACCAGCATCACCATCAAAGTGTATCATCGTCACCACTGTCATCGCCGTCACCACTTTCATCGCCATCGTGATTGCGTGTGGTCATCGCCATGGTACCATGGCAGAAATGAGCGTGCACCATGCATTTGTTATAAAGCTGCAACTGCATGCATTGTCATTCCAGTTTGGCTGCGAAGTGGGTTGACACTTATTATAATATGTTGTTGCTGGTTTGATTGCTCTTGTATGAGCCTTACTTCCTGCATGTTCTCTAAGAACAAATTGGGGTTAATCAGGGTGTGCAATGGCTTTGTTGCTTGCACATCTGTGCTGGATGTGTGCTGTAGTTCGTCATCCGCGCAGTTAGCCGCGGCCAAATTTTATGGTTTTGTTTTTGAAGTTTCAGGCGGAGACTTTCTGGTGGATGGTTCAAATGCTTCCAGCATCCAGTTTAAAGTAGATGAAGAGATGTGCGAGATTTGTGAAATCACAAGAGATCAAAAGGCTGTTCTGCTGACGTCATCAGCAAGCACAGCCAACCATGGGTTCGCACATATGATCATGGTGCACTCAATGCAGGTACGAGCTGGCTTTGAGAAGCACACGTTCAATAAATCTTTCAGCAACCAATCACCATCATTCCGCTCCATTCATTGTTCCAAGGCATAGGGCTTAAGGCTCTATTTTGGGCTTGAGGCTCTATTTTTTTTGCCTTTCCATCCCGGCCGAGCCGAGTGACCTTAAGGCCACTGTGGCCTTTCAAGTGCTGGGGTGGTGCTGTGCCCTTCCTGCGAGCTGCTGGGAAGCCAGTGGACTCCGAAAATTTAAAGATTTCCGCAGGTTTGGCAACGGCACGAGAGTGCATCGCTGGTGCAAAAAAGTGTTGTAGTTTTGCGATGCCCCACACACATGCAACGGATGTTTTGGAGAGTATGCTGCTTGGTGGTTTCGAATATGATCAACATTGATCAACTATACCTATATTGTAGTACTATATACAACTAATTATAACAACTATCATTATTTTGAACTTGTTGAACCCTGTAGTTTAGGTGACTGACTGTCCGATAGATTGAGTGCTGCATTTTGGGAGGACGTGTTATTTGATACGTGTTGGTCGCTGAGGTTATTGCCCCTTGGTTCCAGCCACAGCAGGAGGTTCTGCGGGGCTTCTCACGGGATCTTTCCCGCGTGCCAAATCGTATGTGGAACATCTCCATTGTAAGGTTTGTGTACTTGAGGGTCCTTTGCCTAATTTGATGCGTTGACATAACTATAGGTTATAGGATGGCCTTCGGGATTTCAGGGCTACCCCTGCTGCCAAGTTTCCAGGCAGCAGAGGGTTCATTCCGAAGCTATGCTGTGGCGCTGGTCTTGGCAGTTTTCCTCTCTTACAGGTGCCAGTGGGGATTCAGTCACACTCAGGAAGTGCCTGACTTGAATACTGTTGGATACATCACTCTCTTTTTTGAAAAGCTCTGGAAAAACACATTCTTTGCTAACATTTTAAGCCAGGTCAATAGTTGGATTATAATTACATACTGTAATTAAATATGTATGCATATATATATATATATATTTTTTTTCATTCATCTATCTTTATTAATATACACCCATATTGTATTAATATGCTGGAGGATGGTCATGAATCTGGTCATAGGGATTTAAATGGATTTAATTTATATTATACATGCTGGGTTATTCGAATGGCATCGGCATTGCTTCCAGTAGCCCATGAGGAGCTGCGCCAAGCGGAGACGAGAAGATGAGGAGTGTATCGAGTATTCTCTACACTACAGAATGGGGAGCCAGTTGGAGCTACTCAGAGTTTCCCAACCACATGATGGTTTTTTTCTGCATGTATTTGAGAGTTTTACTATTAATGATTAAAATGACTTCTTCGTTTTTCTTGAGGTTTGATTGTGTCATATTGAGCTGTTAGGTTAGGTCAGCAGCAGAGAGGTCAGCAACATCAGTAGCCACGTAGGGTTCCACCGCAGCAGTTTTCTGCATTGTCAGGATCAATGGGAAGATTGTTTTCAGGCAGGCCCTTGACAGTCAGGGACATCAGATTTTTTTTGCTACATGCTGCCCTGCCAAACGGAAAGACAATTCGAACCAATGCTTGAGGCGAAGTTCAGGTGAGCCCAGGTATGTCTCCACACTGGTCAGTCCTGTGTTGGTTTGCTATTATATGCTAATTATATACATACATGTATATATATATATACATATATATATATATATATATAATCGAATGCAATTGTATGTTGCAAGTTGCAACCCCCTTTTGTTGATAAGCCTATCGCCGACAATATCCTCCAGAACTTGGCTGCAAATGCAAAAAGCCTTCAACAATACCAGACTTTGCCACGTCATGTGATTTGCACCCAGGTCGCTAGAGATGATGAATGATGGTGATCCCACCAGACGATTCCCTTCCCCTGAATAAGTCTTATAAACTCTTACGTATAATATCACATACTTCAAATACCGCTCAAATGAACTTCCGGTGGGGTGTAGTGGATCGAATCACTGTAGGGAATATTCAATGATGATTGGGGGGATGGGCTGGGTAAATTCCCATCAAGTTGACCATTTTTTCATGGTCAAATCATCCCCATGTTGAAGTGCAATTAAGATGTGATGATTTAAACATATTAACTAGCTCGTAAATTGTGGCATTTATTTTCATTGTTTGTAGGTTTTTTTGGCTATACGTATTACCTATTTTTTAAAAATATAACTTAGATATCCAAGCTTCAACGCTGGTTGAATCCACACTTGATGTTGTTACAGGAGGCGCCAGCCCATGAGATCTCCCAGCGTAGCGAGCCATGGAGACAGGAGCCGGTGAATTGTGAGAGCTATGGGAAGATTTGGGTCAGTTTGAAAATGGATTATACACCCATTCTAGCCATGATGTAGGGGGTAAATATTGATATATGTTGATAAACTGATAAACCATCAAATGTCAGAGTAGCCTATTTTCAGACCCATGAAAATTGGGAATAGTTTGTGAATATCTGAGAAGATGTAGGAGCTTTAAATCCACTATTCGAATTGCAGTTTGGGAAATAGCATCAACATCCACGGGATTTTGCGAGCATGTCTGGGAATGAGGACTTTTTTGGGAAGATGTTGGAATGCTTGGGAATATTGGTGAAGACATACTCAAGAAATCTTGGTGGCGGTGGGTGAAAGATCTGGGGATATGTGGGAGAGGCTTATCCTTGTATTCAATGGGGCCACCCCTTTGAGCCAATAGGTATTTGCTGATAAATGAATAGACATGGTATACCAACCGGCCCCTCTATTGTTCCCAAACGAACATTGTTGAACATCATCGTTGGGTTGGTGCAAGATCTGGGAATACATGTGCAAAGTCCCATAGATAGTGGGGGAGCTAAGGAACCACAGATGGTTTACTATTAGCGTTGTAGCTAAGGAGCCGGGCGTGGGTTACTGCTTTCATATTAAGTCAGATATGACAATGTTCACGTGATTCATGTGTCATGTGTGTTTTGTCGCTAGTTTTGATATCGACCCTTCACGAAACGCTCCGTTTTCGCGCTTCGCCGCTTCACCCTTCAGGAGCTGAGTCGAGAACCCGTCCTGGTGTCAGCAACCTCAGATGTGTGTGGCCTCAATGTGATATCAATGGGAATCCAGCCAGAATGGGATATGTTATGAGAATATAACCAAATAAAACGATATGAATGTATAATATATTTTATATAATATATATCCTGCCCTTCCAAAACCGATAAATTTCCAGTCTTGAAGGGTAAACACGGGTTTTACTGGGTAAAACCCGGTTTTGCCCTTTTCACTGCAGATTGTAGCTGGCTGTTGTTCTGGAATGTCCACGAGGTATGTTGAAGTAGTGGGCCGATATGTTCGGCTCTTTCGACGGGACTGCCCAATCTTAATGGTCCGACTTATCCGCGCATCCATGCCTTTCTTTGAAATAAAATGTCATAAAGAAGTGTGAAAAATATCAGCACAGTTAGGTGGCTCGAACCCGTGTTTCAAAACATGGGTTATCATGGGTAAATCATGGTTATATCACGGGTATTTTTTTTTAATTCACGGGTTGTGGAAAATCCCGGTTTTGTACAGAAAGTGCCCCAAACCAGGGTTTTGGGTGCAAATCACGGTTGTATCACGGGTAAATCACGGTGTTATAACACGGGTAAATCATGGGTTTGAGGTTGGAAGCAACCCCCACCCGAGATTTACCTGCAAAAAATTGAAAAAAATGCAGTCAGTTGATAAAATGTTATCATTTCCGGTGGAGTCTACCAAAAAAAAAACACGAAAAGAGATTGCTTCAAACAGCACCCATGCTTGTCAAATCAAATGAGCAGAGCCTTAATGTCAAATTCATTTGGATCTCTTCACATCCGCAACAAATTGGGTAAATCTAGGGTTTTGGCCAAAAACCGGGTTTTCCGGGGTAAAACCAGGTTTTACCTTCCATTGCCCGACAAAACCGATGTTTACTCACAAACCCGAGAAATTTCCAGGGTTTGGAGGTATAGGGTATATATTTATATATATTATATATATAATACTGTCTGTGTGGGGATCTAACCAACTTGAGATGATAGGAATTGATGTTCATCAGATTTGTTCAGGCAATTCATGTTGAGATACTGCTTGCGAAGACGGTTGACAACTGAAATGGTTGAGTTTGAGACTCCATTTGAGTCTGCAATGTGGGAAACCCAATAATTTACCTCTCATTTAGGAATGGTTTATACAACCCATTTATGGAGATTTGGGGTTATGGTTTAGGGTTTACCATAAATGACTCGCCATGCTTTTGAGTCATGTTTGGCGCAACGTGGCGCCTGTCAAAAAAAAACATCGCCAGGCGCGGAGTGTCTGCACATGAGCTTCTCTTGACATGAGAGCTGCGATCTCCAATCAGCATCTGTGCCACTGGTGCGACAATAGTAGTAACATGACTTGTAGGAAAGCTTCAGTGCTGAAAATTTTAGGGTGGTAGATTTGTAACGGAAAACTAGCGGATGCAGTTTGTTTTTCTTCGATGAAGCCTGCTAATCATCCCTCAACTGATTGAGTGCTAAAAGTAGCTAAAACTGCTCCAAGATCACCTACACTGCACGAGTTCACGAGCAACATGGCTAGTGTAGTGCATGGGTATATGTTCCAATTTGATCCAATTTGATTCCAATTTGAGGGTCAAACCAAAGGAATCCCAAGGACCCCTAACAGGCAGACGAGTTTGTGGAATTGTGTAGGTTCGAAAGACTTTCGGCGCAGAATCGATGCTGTTGTAGGGGAATTCAACATTGGTGGCAGCTGAGCTCTCATTCTCCGTAGTAAACTCGGCAAATGAAAAAACTGGGATGTCTGAATGTGGCTGAGATGTGGCTGACGGAATAGGTTGATATACATTACATTGGCGATGGAGAGAGACATATGTAAGGTATTGCTCAGACCATATATGATTTACATAGCTTTTTTTTTCTCAGTATAATGTACATCACACACACATATAAAACATATATACAGTAGTCGTTTTTTTGGCCTGCATTTGCAGCCAAAATAGGCAACAATTTGCCACGGTTTATTTTCCTGGTCCAAGAGTTGATTCAGACCGGGACCTGCATTTTTTGCAAAAATATATCCATTCGCGACCTCAAAATGAACAAGTCCAATCTTACTAAAATTACTGAAGCACATACTAAACCGGGGTTTCTTCGGGTGGTGTGAATATTACTAGAGGCAAGGCTTACGCAGCTACTCCCTTGGCAGATGGTCCTCTCCCCCGCAGTTGGAGTCTCTCCGCGTCGTAGCAGCTGAAGCTGAGTTGCTTGGCAGTTGGTTCAGAGCCAACATTGCATGGGGATTCACCATCTAAAATATCAAAAATGATGGATTAATCACCAAAATTGTGGATCAACACCAAACTTGGGTTATATACACTTCAGACATACATGTGAACACGCACGTGTGTATATCCGTGTATATGTTTATATACGTATCACTATTAATTGATACATACCAGAATTGTACATATGATGATTGCACAATGATACATGCAAGTGTGTGTGTGTATGTACAAGTTCGATTCAAATTGTTTTTTGTCCATAGCAATGGCACCGAAGTAGACGAGAGGAAGGACAGTCATGGCGGCTTGGGCCGAGCCCTTGAGGTCTTCAAGAGCTTTGGCCCAACAGCAGAAGGAGGAACTTGAACATCTGCGACAAGAATGTGAGGACCACAGCCACATGTGTCCCTATAGATTTGCCATAGGTCGAAAGTAATATTTGACCGTAGCCCAGTCCTGTTCACAAAAAATGAGGTGGTAGTAGGAGATAGCTTTCATCAGGCTTCCTCTTGATTTGGGATTGTCTTGTTCACGGGCATATAGAGATGGGCAAGTGAACACCACCGAAGGAGTACCGCAAACAGTCGGCAGAGATCTTGGAGTCCATGCAGGTGTCGGATTGCCATGGGTCGCCATGGAGGGGGAAAGACACGGAAAACATGGGGAAAACCATGTCGAAGTATGACTCGCAATTCTCCTGGTATTGTTTCAGAGACCTTTTCATGGTGTGCATCAAGGTGTGCCACGTGCGGGCACAAAAAAAAACAATGTCTCGTACCTATGTTCAGGATATTTCAGGATATTCAAGTATGTTTGCATGGTCTTTTTCATCTACACTTCGATGGATAGGATTAGTATGTGGCAAAACTAGAGATGTAAAGCGAGGCGCAAGATTCTAAGATCACCAAGTTTGGAGCTTAATTTGGAATTGTCGTGAATAATCTACCCTCTGGTAAACAAACATAGCTATTGAAAATGGCCATAGAAATAGTTGATTTACCCATTATAAATGGTGATTTTCCACAGTTATGTTAGTTTACCAGAGGGTAATACTCTCCTATAGACTCTCAGTTTCATGGCCGCCGCAGTTTTGTGCTGGCTCTGACAACAACAACGGCCGTGGAACCATGGCGCCATCATGACCAGCCCTGAGGGTCAGGGGTATCGGAAGCGCCCAACCAACATTCAGCATGCAGAGGGGCCAGACTCCACTGGCCCTTGGAGTTTGACCAAAAGTGTGACTGGCTGGTGTTTTGGAGTTACCTTCTCGTAATCAAATGCGGAGGTTTGTAGCTGTCAGAATCAACTTAAATGTGGTATGTCCCATTGCCATGCTTAAAAACAGAGGGTATATGTTCTTCCATGTTCTTTCCATTTCTTTCTTAAATACGGAACGATAATATACGATAATATTCGATGATTTGCCCGAATTTCATGTTATTTGGTATGCCTTGAAACCACCAGGTGAAGTTTGGAGAGCCTTCAGCCGAACCGGAAGAGCACAATGAAGCTCCAGCGACCTGCTCCAACACAGCCCAATCTCCAGCAGATTTAGAACAGACGATGCTAGGTGAGAGTTTTGCTGTTACAATTATATATATAATGAAGTTTTGGTTACAAACACAAATGCTCATGCGGGTTTCTGTTTTCCCACCACCATTGTCAACCCGAAGACAATTTGAGACATGGTAAGACATTGCACGCCAGCAGTTTTCCGAGGAATCTGAGCCGGGATGCTTCCCCCAGACGTCCTGGTCAGTGCATTTGGGTGTTGGATGATCCAATTGTCCGGGGCAAGCGCTTCAGGTTGCAATGCAGAGCGCCAAAAGAGAATCTCAGAGTTCCAAATTTATTATCGTGCCTGGTATATCCTGGTATTAGATGACCATATGATAACTTAAGATGCTTGAAGCTTAATTGTACTATCCCCAGGTTTGGTGAAGCCATATGAAGCCCCACAGTGCAAGCTTGAAGCTCTGTGGCTACTGGATCGACCCAGGAACAATGACTTGCACCTGCTCTTCGTGCGGACCGAGAAGAAGCGCCTCTCGGTGGTGGCACTGGACGTGGCTTTGGCCAAGGAGAAGGGTTTGGAGGCCGCGAAGCTGCTTGGATTTGCGTGGATCTTTTCCTATTTTGCCCATATAAATCCAATTGGTAAATCCCCCATGATGGGGAAATCAATCATGGGGAATCTCGAGGGAATGTCTGCTTGATTCTTATTTTGGTCTTCAGAGCCAAACCCCAGGCTGGTCTACAACAAGCGTTTGGCCAAACCCTTCCTCTGCAGCCGCGCGGTCCGGCTGGACTTCAGCTATCGCAAGCAGGACTGCAGCATGGCGGTGACCCCTGCTTCCAACGGGGAGGCGCAGGTGGCTCTCTGCCTGGTGAAGGAAAGCGACACCTTGGGAAGTGCCATGTGGACTTTGTTGGACTTCGTGGTGGTCCAGGTCTGTCAGACCACTCCGCTGCAGGCCGAGGATCCAGTGCAAAAGAGCAAGGAGGATGGCATTTGATGACTTACGACATGGGGATGGGTGGAAAGAACGGACATTCCAAAACGTGGGCGACATCCCAAAACAATCCAAAATGATAATCAGCTCGTGTCATGCATTGTCATGTCCACCCCATTGACCCATACCGGGCCCATACCCATATATAGTCCTTTGATGATCAGAGCAGTCTCTATATGGGTGCAGCCAATTGACCGGATGGTAACTGCATGACAGGAGGTTTCTCTGTGTACATGACACATCATGAAAAACACTTGGAAACTTTGAAGCATTTTTTTTTGATAAATAGCTTTCCATTGAAAAAAACAAATTTAAGTCCAGTTTTGGATCAGTGGATCATTCTCCCAAGAAGTTCACAGCTTGGTATTTTCTTCGGCTTCAGGAGATGCTGGCTGAGGCCGGTGAAAAACTGCGTGACGACCTGGGGAGGCTGGTGCATTCCTTGAAACTTGGATTTCACTGAGAGGTCGTGAGTCAAGGGATCCCCAAAATGGATGGTCAGTTAGTAATAACTTGGAAAATCGGAAAAAAGGATCAAAAAGGTAGAAACGTGTTTCGAGGATTTGCCGGGAGATAGATTTAGTAGATGATGGCTTCTCATATTTTCCAGGTGTCCAACGTTTCTATTCGGGGGGTCGGCCGACATCTTGTTTTTTGGTCTTACCTTCTGACACCATCACCAATTCGTGTGTTTCCCGAATGGGTTAACAAACAAAGTGGGCATATGTTTCCCAGCCAGATTTGTGATATTTAGGGAGTTTGTTGTTGTTGTTGTTGTTGTTGTGGTTGTGGTTGTGGTTGTGGTTGTGGTTGTCGTTGTCGTTGTCGTTGTCGTTGTCGTTGTCGTTGCCGTTGCCGTTGCCGTTATCGTTGTCGTTGTCGTTGTGGTTGTGGTTGTTGTTGTTGTTGTTGTTGTTGTTGTTGTTGTTGTTGTTGTTGTTGTTGTTGTTGTTGTTGTTGTTGTTGTTGTTGTTGTTGTGTTGTTGTTGTGTTGCGTGTGTTGTTGTGTGTTGTTGTGTGTTGTGGTGTGTTGTTGTGTGTGGTTGTTGTGTGTGTGTGTTGTTGTGTGTTGTTTTGTGTGTTGTTGTGTGTTGTTGTGTGTTGTTGTGTGTTGTGTGTTATTGTGTGTTGTTGTGTGTTGTTGTGTGTTGTTGTGTGTTGTTGGTTGTTGTTGTTGTTGGTGTTGTTGTGTGTGTGTGTTGTTGTGGTGTTGTTGTGTTGTTGTTGTTGTGTGTTGTTGTTGGGTGTTGTGTTTGTTGTTGTTGGTGGTGTGTTGTGTGTGTTGTGTTGGTGTGGTGGGTGTTGTTGTTGGTGTTTGTCTGTTGGTTGTTGTGTTGTTGTTGTTGTTGTTGTTGTTGTTGTTGTTGGTGTTGTTGGTGTTGTTGTTGGTGTTGGTGTTGGTGTTGTTGTTTGTTGGTGGTGGTGGTTGGTGGTGGTGGTGTTGGTGTTGTTGGTGTTGGTGTTGGTGTTGTTGTTGTTGTTCTTCTTCTTCTTCTTGTTCTTGTTCTTGTTATTGTTTTTGTTCTTGTTCTTGTTCTTGTTGTTGTTCTTGTTCTTGTTCTTGTTCTTGTTGTTGTTCTTGTTCTTGTTGTTGTTGTTGTTGCTTTCACGGGGAGGGTGGTCATAGGAAGTCTCCGAGGAAGGTGGCAGCTTTCTACGGTGCCCGTGAGGCGGCGCAAAGTTTGATTCACAAGGAACTTGGATGAACATCCTGGCAGCATGTTTGAAGATGCACTGATAATTTTTGCGCAAAGAATATACGCATGTTTCAATTGATATATATATATATATATATGACTTATAATTATATATGATATTCTAATATATTCTATGATTATTAACTACGTATGTTTATTTTAATCTGTATGTCCTATGTGTGCGTGTGTGTGTGTGTGCGCGTGTGCGTGTGCGTGTGCGCGTGTGCGTGTGCGTGTGTGTGGGTGTGTGTGTGTGTGTTTGTGTTCGTGCATGTCTCATTGTGTTTTCCGCAATGTGTGGGGGCGTGCTGTAAAGTTCCAGCTGGTCAGCTGGTTTTCTTTGGTGAGCTCCAAGATGTTTGTTCTGTCAATGCCCTAGGTGTACCAAGAGATCAGCACTGATATGGTTTGGGATCAAGTACGTTTGATTGCGCTTCGCTATCGGTTAGGATAGCTTTCACAGTTACCAATCGCTACCATTATTTACAGTGTTTCATAGGACTCCCAATAGTTAGCAACTGGTGCAGGATTTCTTCCATCCACAGTAACATGTGATTGTAAGTGGTTACAATATTTTTTCTGGTTTGTGGTTTCATGTATTGAATTTCCGACCATATTGCGATGATCCTCGTTGACTAGTGATTGCATGGTTGAAATCACCATTCAGATCCATTTAGATTTTGTTTGAAAAAACACCACTTGCCAAGATTGTAGACCCCCGTGGCCCTAGATTGAAAGAAAGTGGGTTCTGAGGAAAGCAGTGCGGACAATCGCTCAATGCTGAGACGCATCAGCCAGGCTCGGTCAGTGGAGTCCGTGATCGAATGCGCCAAAATGTTGGACCGAAATGCCCAGAAAGGCTTCCAGGATCTCAAGAACACCATTCGAAATCTCTGCAGCATCCTTGTCATTACCTGGGATTCCCGCGAGAAGCTGCCATGGAGCTTCTATCAGATCGAGAGTGACAACAACATCACTCCCAAGATTGATGTGAGAGCACGAAGCCAAATGACCATGTCAAATCTTTCTGTCCACGACATGGGAGGCGTTACAATTTCAAACTTCAGAGTGTTGCTGTCCTGGTACGGTGACGATGGCAGGTCCGACTTGGATTTGTACCTCTCGTGCCCTGAGTGCGAAGGTGTAGTGCATCACCAAAATAAATGCTGCAATTGCTTGGAGCAGCTTCAACTAACTCTGGAGGGTCTGGAGGCCGTGCCCGAAAGCAGTGACCACCAGGAAGCCTTAGGAGTTGACTTGGCAGCTGCTGATGATGCTGGTGCCCGGTGCATCCGGAGCATCACCAAGGATGGGCCCTTGGATCAAGCCTGCGCACGTGACAACATCCAACTGCAGCCGGGGGATTTGCTGCTAGGAGTTGAGAATCAAACGGTGCGGATCCAGAAATCCAAGCCTTGCAGAGTGGAGATGGATGTGGTTTCTCGCCCCAGTTTGAGACAGAGTTTCCGAAAATTTGTCAAAATTGATCAAAATTGCTGACGAACCTGTTCTACATAGTGCATTATGCTTTGGAGGTATGAGTCCCAAGGATTGAATATGTTCCCCTAGATTTTACAGTGTGTGTGTAATATATATATATGTGTGTTTTTACTGTACAGCAATTTATATATATATATATAGCATACTAACTACCCTTGAGGCTTCAAGCCTCCGTAAATGTTTTTGGGCTGTTCTTGGACCGGGGTCCACTCACCATTGCAAGGATCACCTGGGCCCCAAGCACATGAGATCCGAGCAAAATGTTTTTGTTCAGCAGCCCTCGGACAAGACCTATGTGTTACAGGTGCACTTATTTGCTGGCGACCCGGTGGAGTATCAGGTGTTGGTCCAGCGGGTTGGCTTTCCGGACATCGTCTACAATCTACCAGCGCATCAGGAAACCGACGAAACGGTGGATGTGTTCAGCATGACCGCTTTGCAGTTGGAATCTGCCTGGGAGCCCCTTGAATTGGACTGAGGGGGCGACCCCTGACGTTACGGAGGCGCTTGCAGTTGAGAGCCAGAGAAGAAATGAGGACATCAATGCACAGTAGAAATTAGAAATGATAAAAATCTGAAACATGTACAAATAAAGATGATTAAAGGTAACATAAGATAACTAAATGAAGATTCTAGAACCAATATTCAGCAATTTGCTCACACTGCGCACCGAACGGTGCTCAGCACTCATCCGCTTGAGAGGGATAGCGGACCAGTCACATGGCTTTGCTAAGCAAGTGCCGAAAAAATCCGTTGCGGTGCTGTGTGCTTTGACAACTTACGGGTGTGGAAGCATGTCACCACCATCAAAGCCTATGTCAAACATCCCATAGTTCCATGTGCACAATGATTTTTTAACTGGGCATATCTCTAAGTCAACGCTAATAGGCTATAGACGCGCTTCGCCACCAAAAAAAGTTCTTCCATGCTATGTTCGTAGTTTGGTGGAAGTCTTGCAGTAAGTCTAATGGTGATGCATGGTAATTAACTGTTTTCTGGCTGCTGGTTTCAAACTTGTTGGTTTTCATCCCTAGAAATAAGATTATTATCTCCAATTACTTTCCACGTATTTTTCGGTGGTGCTGGCTCAATCATCAGATGTGGTTTTAAGACTGTTTTAAGGTAGAATCCACAAGGTGGTGCCCCCTTGTGATGTTTGTTGGTTGATTAACATTATCAACCCACTAACTATAGTTTAGTGCACTAGTAGTTTAACTAGCTATGCTATATAGTTTACTACTAACATCTACCAACTATACTAGTCGATATAGATCCATATTATAGTTTAGGAGCCAGTTATACAACCGCTGTTGGCCAAGATCCAGCCAGGTCAGCCAGAAGGAGATGCAGAGCATGGTGGCGGAGCTGCACTCCTTGCGGGCCTCAGATGCCACTCAGCTTGGTGTAGAGGGGAAGTAACTTGGCTGGTGATTGGATTAGTAACTTGGGGGATTTTGAGAATCGAAATCCCCAAGTTACTAATCCAAAGACCAGGGGGATTATCTACTAACTTTGGTCCTGGATTAGTAACTTGCTGGATTATCCACTCATAACTTGGATTAGTAACTTGGGGGATTATCCAGGGGCTGGTAAGTTGGTAAATGTCCATTTCTTGGGACTTAAACTTCCCTTATGTGATTGATGTCCATTTCTGGATTAGTTATTGGATTAGTAACACTTCGGGGATGGAATCCAGGGGTTGGTAAATGATGGTAAATGATGGTAAATGATTGTAAATGATGGTAAATGATGGTAAATGCATGTAAATGTCCATATTTGGTTGGGGGATCTTGAACATCACTTTCCAGTATTTGTTGGCGATTATGTCCGGAATAGTTGCGTGAGGTTCAATTAGGACATTTATGACCCACTGCTATCAGGTGGATGAAACCGATTAAACCCTGAGCTAGATGATTTTTTGCAGTAGCTTACCAAAGAACAATGGAGTTGGGGGGCGTTGGGGGACTTGGGTGTCTCTGAAAGTGGTTTACCCCTAAGTTATGGCCATTTTCATGGGGAAAATGAGTAAACATGATGATTAAGCAGTGATTTTGGACCCGAATTTCAGCAAACCCACCTTCCCAATGTTGGAGACCAGTGATGGGGATACCTACGCCCACTTTTACCAGAAATGGGTTGGACGAGCCATCCCAAATAGGCAGGTTGATTGTTGCGGCTTTTGATGGGTTTTGCTTTAACAGGATAGCAAATTACATGGTGACACAGTAATCGAATTGTAGTATATAGGATAACTACGATCAAACCAGAAACTAGCAAATCAATATTCTTTGCAATTATGTTGGGCATTTGCAGATGCATATGAATAAAGATCTCCGGTACATGAGTAGACAGGATCAGTTAGTCAATATAATTAATTATCCAGGATCATCAATGATGAACCTCCAGGTTCGCAAAGGTTCATCAATGTTGCTTGAGTTTTGTCACTGTGGAACCTTCAAGAAAAACCGCCAAAACCTTGGATGGGCACATAGTTTAAGACTTGAATTCTATACTTGGTTCAATATGGAAAAAAACATTATTGTCGTTTTCAATGGAGAACATAGTCCCCAGCAGAGTATACCATGAGCCAATGGCATTCCCAGACACCACATGTCGAGCCGCGAGCCGCACTCGGCGAGGCCAAATTCGAAAGCAGCCAAGCCTCGGAGATGGAGCGAAATGCCCAAAGTGCCGGGCACAACAATCACAGGTCAGCGCTACGATGGCAGCAGTGGCCGAAAGCCCTGTTGATTGGTTATCGTGTTATTGTCAATTGATGTCAATTGTAGGGGATGGTGCTATTTGATACGCAGGGGGATTATCATCATCGAGCATTGGAATCTCCATTCAACATCATTCAACAACGAATTTAAAGGGATGACAGAGGGCCAGAGGGTTTTGATCATGGCTCATGTAGATCCAGCATGTGATTCTCATACGCATCAGAAGCTTTGTGAGTTGATATCCATGATTTTAAATGATTTGAGAAATTGTGATTCTTAGCGAGGTTGCCTCACTATCGTCATGAAATGTGATGAATCATCGTTTTGCATTCTTAAAGTCAACTACTTTGCACCTGGTGCTCAATCAGCGTAGAATCCACCTGTGTACCGTACCCACTGGTGGCAGAAGGGAGCGACACTCAGTGTTGAAGAGAGTTTGGCAAAATTCTGACACATGAGTGCACACCAGATATGAGACAATAGCATACTGCAATAGCTGAGACACTCACATTTTGCTTGTTGTTTTATTGCTCACTTGTGAAGGGAGCATGCTGCGAATAACAGGCAGGATATATATATATATATAATAAACATAAACAATGCATAAATAAGAAAAAAAAGGTCGAACTGATGCGTGATGAACAATGCATCTTGTTGCATTTATAGAACTTACAGCTGAAAAGAACATGTCTCTTTCACAGTTGACATTTGGCCATCACTATTCCGTTGCTGAGGTGCTGGTATGGCAATCGTCCCTTGGCTGGAGATCTTGGATTTTCCATTTCGGCAACCTCCAGTAATTCAGCATAGCTATGGAAAGTGACCCATGGATGACTTGCCTATAAAATGTTGATCTTCCATAGCTATGTAAAATTATGAAACGGTACTTCTTCAGATAGCGTTTTGACTTTCCGGTTAGACTTTTCGTTTTTCATAGCTATGAATTGGCCATTCCACCTGAAGATTCACCCCTTGCACTTGCGACTCTGAGGATTTGATGGCCAGTGCCTCAGGATTGAACCCATAGCCATCGTAACCCTGAATACCCCCATGGGCCCCAAAATGAATAGATCGAACCTAGCCACGGTTTCTAGCGGGGTATTTACTACTGGGCCATTGGGGGAAAGTGTTGGAATGCTCAAGAGTCCCTTTGAGTTTGGCCCTTCGTGCCACGGTCGGTCGCTCAATCACCAGTTTCTGACACAACGTGCGTTGTTTCCAGCATCCATCTGTGACCCCTATGGGCCAGGGGCTGAAGATGATGGTGACGACGGGGACTGGAACATCTGCTGGGACTTTGAACGAAATGACTGGGGTCTGATCCTCAAGAGTCTGATCTTGGGCGGCTCTGAGTTTGAGAAACTGAGTCTCTTTCGAGTGTCGAGTGGTCATTGGTGGTATGACTAGTGTTGATCGGTGACAAACCAGAAAAAATGAATGCACTGTGGCATGGCATGGAATGGCATTTGTTGGGATGATTTCCAGGGATGTCACCGCCAGTTTCAAGCGGGAAAGGAAGCATTCCACGTCACTTGCCCTAGGAAGTGGCTGGAAATCAGCATCAGCCTCTTCGTGGGGGCCAACAGGTGGGAAGCTACCTATAGGAACTTTTCCATAGGTGGTGCTCTTGGCGATTCTTTAATTGAACTGCATGGATGACAATTTTGATAGTGGACTGACTCCAGCAACAAAGACTGTCTAAAGTGGTGAAGCACGTTTCTACCTGAGGTTGTCCCACTGCCTGTTTTGTGCCTGAATTCATTCTTGCTCGTGTCTAAGCTTGCTTTCTGCTGCAGCGTGCTGAATCTGACAGGCGTCCCCGCCTGGCAGGCGCGCTCTGCCGGGGAAGGGCTTGCCACGAAATTCTGCAGGGCTTTCGGAGCCGACTTCAACTTAGAGCCATGAAATTGCATGTCCCGGTCCCCCCATTTAAAGATTGGTACGACATGGTAGGACCGTTAGGGCTTCTCTTTTCCTTGTGCTGAATGGAAGGGACCTTGCACAACACCGTCTTGCTGCACCCTTTCCCATATTTCTCAGGTACCAACAGGGTCTTTGGCAGGAGCTGCGTCTCGCGCATTTACACCATGCTCCAATGTTAAATACACCGTATAAAGAAGTCATCCAAAGTTCATGTTTGGTATTGGATCACATTTTATCTATCATGTTTGGGGTGTTTATTGGTATTTATATAGAACTATGTACCCTCTGGATCCCTTTGGTAATTTGACATCGCCATGGAAAATTAGCCACGTGTAGATGATTTCCCATGGCTACATGCACATGAGCGTTTTCCATAGTGCAGGAGATGGACCCTTTGCTGGGGATGCTGGAGCTTCAATGTCACCCGTTCAACGCTAAGTTTGCAGGTAGACACCACATGACACCACCAGCTTCGGTTCATGGAGCATGGATTTCACCGGTGATGTTTTGTTTTCTGAATTTTCTAGGAGAAGTTTTCCAAATGCGGATTTTCCATGAATTCCACATGTATATAATCGTATACATATACAATGAATTATTATATACAACATATAATTAATCATAGCATACTTAGATGTACATGATTGTAATATATATATATACACATATGCGTATATAGTAAATAAACATATATATATATTATATTATATATATATTGTATAATCATATGTTTCCCATATTGCTGGCATGCTGCTGGCCAGCTTGACGCTAGCGGAGCTTTTTCTCTTGATCCCAGGTGTCAACTCGGCCCTGGTGGACGCAGCCAGTGGCTGGAACACCAAGCGCAGCGCAGCAAGGGCCGCCATGCTGGGGGTTGTCTATATCTATATAGATACATACGTGTTATGATAAGGTGCATAATATGTGCGCATATTTATATATATATACACATACATACATGCATATATATATATATACACATAAATTTCACGCATATTTATATTATGATAAAATATTATCATCACCGTAAAGTCAGCTGGTTCGTGCGGGATAGAGTTTCATGGGCCGAAGCCGCGGGAGAGTGCAAGTGGTGGCCCTTTC